GAAATGTGAAAGTCCTAGAACCAAACGTTCAAATGTAATAGCCAATGTTAAAGTTTTTTAAAAGTAGTTCAAACGTCAAGGTCAATGCCAAAATTGTTGTATCCAAAAAAGGACTTCTCACAAGGAATACACATGTGAAGTAAGAAAGCTCCATCACCAAGTGTTCAAAAGTTATGGTCAAGATTAAAAGTTTTTTACAAAATTAAAGTAGGTCAAACTCCAAGGTCAAGGTCAAAAGGTCAAAGTTGTCGGTATCCAAAGGAAAGTCTTGTCACAAGGAATATACATGTGAAGTATGAAAGCTATGGCATAAAACAGTTCAAAGGTTATCGCCAAGGTTAAAATTTTTTAAAAGTAGGTCAAACTCCAAGATTAAGGTCAAAGGGTCAAAGTTGTTGGTATTCGAAGAAAGATCTTGTCACAAGGAATACACACGTGAAGTATGAAAGCCCAAGTATAAACTGTTCAAAAGTTATGGCCAAGGTTAAAGTTTTTCAAAAGTAGGTAAAACTCCAAGGTCAAGGTGAAAGAGTCAAAAATGTTAGTATACAAAGGGAGGTCTTGTCACAAAGAATACACATGTGAAGATTGAAAGCCCAAGCACCAACTGTTCAAAAGTTATAGCCAAGGTTAAAGTTTCATAAAAATTTGCCAAAGTGGGTCAAACTCTAAGGTCAAGGTCAAATAGAATGAAGTATCCAAGAAAGGTCGTGTTACAAAAAATACATATGTGAAGTTTGAAAGCCCAAGCACCAACTGTTAAAAAGTTATAAAAAGTTATTATAATAAGGTTAAAGTTTTTTTTCAAAATTAGAGTAGGTCAAACTCCAAGGTCAAAAGGTCAAAGTTGTTGGTATCCAAAGGAGGGTCTTGTCTTAAGGAATACACATGTGAGGTATGGAAGCCCTAGCTCCAACTGTTCAAAAATTATGGCTAAAGTTAAAGTTTTTTTCAAAAGTAGGTCAAACTCCAAGGTCAAGGTCAAAGGGTCAAAGTTGTTGGTATCCAAAGTAAGGTCTTGTCACAAGAAATACATATTTCACATGTGTATTGATTATGTAAAGACCTTTCCATGGATGTAAATATTTTTGGCCCTCTAGTTTGACCAATTTTTAAAAAATACTTAACCTTGGCTTTAACTTTTGAACAGTTAGAACTTAGACTTTCATATTTTGCGTGTGTATTTCTTATGACAAGGGCTTCGCCTGCGTACCATTAATTTTGATCTTTTTACCTTGGAGTTTGACGTACTTTTAAACAAGAAGTCTGTGAGCGAATGCTCACTAGTTATATCCCCGCTCTGATGTGAATATACACTCTCATGTTGACATCGAATTCATATACAAGTGAATTCCACCATTTGGCATGACTAAACAAAGATTGTGCTAAAATTTCAAGCATTTGCGCTGAGCAGTTGCTGAGAAGTTGACATTGGATTCAAACAAAAATGAATCCCGCCATATGTCTAAACAAAGATTGTGCTACAATTTCAATTATCTGTGATGAGTAGTTGCTGAGAAAACTTGTTACAGACAGACACACGGACACACAGACAGACTGACACACAAGGATCAAACAGCATACCCCCTCTCCTTCAAGATAACAAATGAGTGCGGAATTTTACGTTCGTTGTCCTAAAGTGCTATAACAGGAATCAGTTTATTTATATTCTATTTTTATTTGACAATTTTCCTTGAATTCCTTGAATTGAAATAAATGTATTGAAAACAAAAATGTCAACTAATCAAGCAGGTTGTATGCCCCCCTTTTTTTCCCAAAATACTACTGCCTGTAATAGCTGAGAAAAAAATGTAACATTCAACTGTTATTCTTTGACATTAAGGATGACATATCAGGCTTTCCTGAAAGCCAAACTTGTAGCCTTCCTAGGCCTGAAATTGAAATCATCTAAAATTTCGCGTATTTATACTGTCATTTTGATTGGTAAGGTAATATGGCCCAACATACTTCGTGCAGATATCAACAACGAGAGTAATCGATAGAGATCTAAGGATTTTAAAAAAAAAATTTGTAGTTGAGGTAAGAATTTGGAGAAATTCATCCAGAACCGAGTGCAACTTTTGTGAGCAATAACTATAGTTTTTATTTTCTATCGGTGACACTGTAACTCTCCTGTCTGTCAATTATTTCACAAAGTTACAGTTCCGCAGCTAATTTTAATACAGATGAATAAAACAAGAGGCCCAGGGCTTAGAAACACCCTTCTGATAAATTGCTGAATTGGCCAAAAAAAAACAACAACTAGTACTTATTAAGTACAAAGTGCATCAATGAAAAAGGTGAAGATAATAAACTCTGATCTATTTAGAATAATCTACATACAACACAAATTTATGAACTGGGAATAGAACACGGAACTCTGGAAATTCCAGAGGGGGGATCAGGTGTCTAGGAGGAGTAAATATCTCCTGTTGACCAGGCAGTATTCCTAATTATCATAGTATGCTCGATAGGTATCATGCATAAAGTATTATATTTACAATGAAAATGTAATTGAATAGAAATAAAAATTCTGAAAGTAGATCACTGGGACATACATTTAGATGAGATACCGAAAAATGTATCAATCAACGATTACGATTTGCTGATTCTTTACCTCAAATGGTCAGAGTTATCAATCTAAAATGATTTGAAAATGAAAGTCACCAAAGTAAATGACATAGCTCTGATAGCTGCATGTTTCCAATATTGCCAATAAATGTTCCGCGCTCTTTCCACATATCATGAAAAATAAAAACATACATGTAAGCTTACAAAGTGAGAAAACAATGGACACTTTTCGGATTGAACCTTAGTGACCCGCTTGGAAATAAACCACGCTAACAATTTCGCCATAGGGACTACCGCTACCAAGTGAAAATGACTAACATCTTGCATATTGTTTCAGTAATTTTGAAACAAAGTATATATTAAGCATTACGTCGCGGGTTCGAATCCCACTGCGTGACGCAGAGAACAGTCCTTCGGATGAGACCGTATAAACAGAGGTCCCCTGTCACAGTAGGTGCTGGCTCGAAAAAGATCACTCACTGCCCAATGGCCCTCAGTGCCGAGTTTAGGTCTTAATTTGCAGTCCTCCATCGGCAAGTGGTGGCGTTTCCATATGAATGAACATTTCATTTGAAACTGCTGTCAAATAACTCCAAAATAATCGTTTTTGTCTCATTTGTCATTTTCTGTCGTTTGGTATCCATTGTTAACTAATGGCGGTCAATAGTAGAAGCAGAGGCTTGTACCTCTTAACACTGAAGAGCTGACACAGTCGTACATGTACCAAAAATCATTTTTTTTATAAATTACAACAACTTTTGACGCCCTCTATATATCGAATACTTTATTTGTATAAACGCGACTTCGGCAATCAGAATTCAATATGGCGGAAAATTTACGCACTTTTGTCACTATCCTGTATATTGCCAGATAAATGTATTACCTTTACGCAACCCATTTTGTTAAAATGGAAGGTGTCTATTTCGTGACGGGAAGATTTCAAATTATACATCATTAAACCTCATACATAACTAATCAAGTCAGATATGCATATTTGCATACCTGTTTGGCATTGACCAATTTTCTAAAATCAAAATGTGTTATCTTAACGATAATGTTTCGAGAAGCTTGTAGCTAGGTACGTGTGATTATGATTCATGTGAGAATCTCTCAATATATCTGATACTCTTCCCTTCAGATAACAAATATGTGCGGCACTTTGCTTAAATAATGCATTTTTGTTGGTTGGATTTTTTTCACTAAACATGTTTGTAGTCTAGGGAATGTTGAAAACAGATGATTCTTTACATTCCACATGTATTTTGCTTATAAAGTGTATGGAAGCTAAGAAATTCAAAACTCATAACACTTACATCTGCTACTGACTGCACTCTTTGCATTGGGAGAAGCATTAGTAAATTAAAGCTGATGGAAGAGATAATATGCTCAAGAGAAGAATTTTACATAGAGAGCTGCTGTGATTTAAAAACTTGATTCGTGGTATCTGCACATTCTGATCCCATGGGCACTCTATGGGGGAAGTTTGAGTCATATCTGACCTATGAAATGGAAACTGTGATCAAAATTAAAATAGCATTCTTTGTCCTATAATCGAGAATCTTGTTTCAGTCACTGCACACCTTCAACCAATAAACACTCTGTTAGAGAAGTTTGCGCAAGCTGAACCAAAGGGAGAGAACAAGTACTCAGTACAGGTAATTTACGTAGACAAATATTTTGACATTGACCTTTGATCGAGAAACATGTTTCAAAGACACTTCACATCTTTTATCTATGGACACTGTGGTTGAAGCCTGAGCAATAATGGGCAAAGGGTATAAATTACCGGAAAAGCTCCAAAGATTGATTTTGTGTTTGCTTTGCTCTCAATCTGTATTGTTCTATTTGACTTTTTGAGCATATATAAGTATGTTATGCTAATATGTTGCCTTTGACCGTTTGACTTAAAGCCGTTCTACAAGGTCACTGCAGTCTTTACCCTTGAACCCACCATGGGTGAAATTTGAGTCAAATTGCTCAACAACGAACATCGATTTTACAATCATATATTTTGTGACCTTGTCGTTTGATTGAGAAAGTTGGTTCAAGGTAACTAAATACCTTCCAAACACGTACATACTACAGTGAAGTATGCGTCACAATTTCTCCATTAGGCTTATTATGATCAAAATCTAATTAGATATTCTAAATCTCCTCCATTTGTCCTAGGAAAAAAAGAATTGAAAGATTTTAAAAACTGCAGATATTTTTTTTTATTTTAAAAAATTATAAAGATTTCTTTTTAAATCTAAAGAAATCGACATTTTCTTAATACGATATAAATAAATATGGTTTAACAATTTAACTATAGACTTGGTTTCTAGAATCTACTTGGGGCACTCTGTTTTAAAAGTCCAGATTTCAGCTCGTATACAATCCACTTATCATAGGCGATCCAGGTTCACATATTATACACGATCCAGTCATTATTAAACACAAGATCCAGATTCCAGTGCGATATTATCTACGGCAATATATCCTCTATAGCTGGTTTTCCGTTTTCCTCCAATCCTTGTCCGGATGATGATCTACAACGATTGTTATCATAATTTAGCTACTCATAGCGCCACATCTTACACAGCAACACAAACATATCACAATCAAAGTTGCTTTCATGTACATGTAATCATTATTCCTTAAGGACATCTAGAGTTAATTGAACTTCGAAAGTGAATTATTAGGTGTTTTGGGGCAGGACTATGTGAAATATAGTTTTTAGTATTTAAGTTTGCATAAGTCTTCAATATGTCATGGAATAAGTCATCAGAATTTAATACTATTAGTTACACATTTAGTTTATTTGATGATCACCTTATACGGAGTCATCCAGGGTGTGATATGGAAATCCGTACAACATTATCACAGTTAAAAAGATGAAACATACATTCCAACAAACTTTTTTTGCCACCAATTGTTTACACTAGACCACAAAGAACAGAATCTCGCATACGATGTTCAATACACCTCCTGATCAGAGACAGTGTATTAGAAAATTTCAGAGTGCCAGGTGATTTGTTTTTAGCCTATAGATATTCTACAAATTTGTCTAAAGTGGGATAAAATATAATCCCTGTTGAGTGTTGAGATATCGCCTCCTGAAATAAGTCGTATAAGAAACTAGGTTTTAACGCTCTTCATAAGCAAATGAGCTTTCGAAGTTCACTTTACCGCTAATGCCTCATAGCCAGTCAGAAATTTGTGATTCTCTAAAACTTGGTTCAGAAATAGAATTTAGGTTGTTTTAACACTCGCTATAAGATTTTTTGTTCTACTTATGTTAAATATCACGAGAGAAATTATAAATTGTTCAGATCATTTAATATTGTTTTTGCAATGCAGATAAAATGACTAGATTTGTTTTCTTCAAAATGAACCAAACAGCTTACAATATGATTCGTACGTAATGTTGCCGTACTTAATATCACCTGCTGAACATATCTAATGAAAATATCCTATAATTACATAATACACAATACATATACTATATATACAAAAGGTAGGTTGATATTTTTTATTTTGGCACACTTTTTGGAGTAAATATTTGTTTTGATTATATATATTCTGAACACACGTTATATGTATACATGTATTGTTCTCTATATACATATGGAAAACATTTGTACCGAACAAATTTTGATTAAGATTTTCTTCCCGAAAATAAAGTGCAAATATTCCTTATATAAATCTATACAGAGTGCATGTGTGTTTTACGAAAATTAGCCAAAACATCTTAAAAACCTACCTTTGATAATGAGGTAAGACTGAGTTCTTTTGAATAAGTAAACCATTTCCTCCCCTGATTTCCGCTGTATATTTGATGCCTAACTTCAGCACTATTTCCTTCCTTTGTCAAAATTTCCAAGGACCCAATGTGCGTCCCATACATGGATATTGCGAGACTCAGGCAATAAGTTCCAGCTAGAAATAAAACAATACACGTAGTTCTAGAGAAAATGTTATAAACATCATTATAAATTATGAAAAACAAATTTCCCTGTTGATTACGCCATAATAGTGCTACATACAATACACTGTATTGCAATTCTATATGGCAAGAAGTAGCATGGAATCGTGCACTTCAATATCACAAAAAAATATTAAAATTTAATATGAAATATGAAGGTAACGAACAGTAATCAAGCTCAAAAGGCCAATAAAGCAATTCATATTATGAGCAGAGCAAACACAGATGTTAGCTCTTAAGTCTAATTAATGAAAATTGCCTACAGACCAATTTGAGACATGAATTCCTCAAATGATGCTTTATGACCACAGCGCAGTAAAGTAAGGTTTACTGTGGCATATATTTAAGTAAATATAATGATAAAATCATATTTTAAATCTCATTATTTAATACGAAAATGAGGAAAACGAGTTATGAATCATTTTTTTCTTTATCAGAAAATGAAAATATATCTTGATTGCCTACAGTCTCTCGAAACAAGGTAATTTATATGTTCTTGACATCTTCTTTAAAACATATTGGGCTAAATTGAATATAAATTTTAGGATTACTTTGACATGATGGGAATTTAAGCTCCATGAACATGTTTCATTTTCTACAAAATTCAATAATAGCCGCAAAGTATGGGAAAAAGCAAGTTTAAATTGATTATGACGTCCTAAAAGACAAATAAACTCATTTCTAGACCTTGACTTTAAAGAACCAGTCTTTGATCAGTATTACGGGTATGTTTTTGTAATGGGAAAATAAAATATGCTCATCATTGATTCCATATGTAAAAGAAATTCACATTCATTTCAACCTCATAGATTAAACAATTTACTCACCAAGATTGCAACACAGAGATGGCGAAATACACCACTTTTGCAATATATATCACACCAAGTTGATAATACACATCTCAGGAAGGTTGCAATACATACCACACTAATATGACGAAATACACCAAGATGGTAATTAACATCAAATCAATGTGGCACTTCATTGCATCAAGATTGAGATACACACCCCACAACACATAGGTGGCGATAGAGACCAAGATGGGGATACACACTAACATGGCGATACATAACATATAAAATTGGCGCCACATCACACACAGGGAAATGATGATACACAACAGACTGAAGTGACGCTATATCGTAGCAATTAATATGCACCATGTAAACATCATGTTTACGAGTCACAGTATTTGACAAAGTTGTACCTGCCGTGAAAATGATTTTCCTTACCTGGGAAACTGGCGTCACTCTCCAGGCTGGCCTCGTCGCCCCGGGATCGTGGAGAGGATGCCTCTGTATATTTATAGTAGTTTCCAGAGGCTGCACCACTCGGTCCAGTTCTACTTGAGGGTGTACCTCCCTACAATTGAAAAATAAAACATGAAAACTCGTAATGAACAAAAATATAAATAAATCTTTGTTCAAAGGAAGTCTTTTCCGAATTACCTTGCAATATGGATATAAAAATGTGTGTTTTACTTTATCACAAGAAAAAGAGTTAATTAAATGATAATGTTATATGCTGCAGTCAAGTTTTTTGTAGGTTCATAAACATTGCCATTAATTGTGTATAACAATTCATGAAAGGAACATGTAATTGAAAGAACTTATTTCCGATTCTTTTATGTATCATAATGTAATAACTTAATAAAATATGTTCAGATCCTGAACAATAGACTTGAAAAGATAATAAAAAATCTTTAACAATGAAAACGATGAAGTTTACGAATAGTGGTCGATCTCAAAATTCCAGTAACAATACAAATTGTGAGCAGAGCAAAAATACGAACCCCTGAAAACAAATTTATAAGGTGTGCTTTCCTGTAAATTTCAGTTGTTGACTGTTACATTAAAGGAAGATCAAAAACTTCATTCGTAAATCCATCCCTTTTAAGCAAATGTCTTTCAAAAAACAAATAAAATTTAGAAATAATTATTGTAAAATCATTATATTTTCTGTTATCTGTCAATGTAAAGATAAAATACAATTAAGAACCCTTTCTACACTGCACACTAAAGAGTTCTGATTCTCTGATATTTTTCTGCAGTTAGAGTGATCTGCCCTTAGATCTCAATTCTAATAAATTGAAATTTACAGTATATTACTCAATTTATAATCAATTTAGTATTCTTAACATTTTAAAAAGGCCAAGATAAATTAATTGAACACTTTATATGCGTGTATTTTCTCCATGGAAGTAAACAATAGTGATTTCTGTTCATTGATACTTTGTCGTCTTTGAACATTTTTCCTGGGGATAAATGCCACGTACCGTATATTGAAAATTAGATAGATAAGCTCAATATTTACATCTTTAATCAATATAATTTTCTCAATGTCCAAAAAACATTTTGCACTGGTGTATAGAGGGTTCTTAACAAGTTTACAGCTAGGCTCCAACTCAAAGCAGCTTATGAGTGCTAACTTTTAAACTAGTGTTAAAGAAAGCAGTGTTGTAGGTTGGGAGTAGATATATAAAACAGAGACATGACATGGGATCGAGACCATGAGAAAAGAGAGAAGATTATAAAACAGAGACCGTGAGAAAAGCTAGTGATTGTTAAGGTTAAGAAATCTCACGCTTCTTCGGGTGAAATCAAAATCATCGTTGGCACTTTCTGTCAGGAAACAACTAGCTTCAGGGTCCTCCTCGAAATCACAGGTGTAGCTTGTTAATTCTACCAAAAACGAAGCCCTTTTAAATGTCAAGTATATACAGATAAGGATATAATAAGAGATATTGAAACACAGGTTGTACCTGTTCCGAAAATAAAACTTTTGGAAGAACTATTTGATATTTGCATCATTACAACCAAAGAAAATAAAACAAGATATACCAAACCATCTAATTTTTGTGTGGAGCAGGTGCCCGCACCAGATCAAGATCCTGGACATAAATAATTAAAAACTTACGGATGTCACAATTAGTTCCCGACCATCCAGTGTTACACTGACACTCAGTCTCTGTCTCTGACAAAGCAACGCACTCTCCATTAACACAGTCATTTGTCGAACACGGATCTGAAACAAGACAACTTGGTGAATGTATTCAAAGGTGGTGAAAACTTTATAAATCCTTCAGGTTTACATCATATTTTCCTTTCATATCAGCACCAGGTAACGATTTTTTTTTCTTATCCTGACATGCAGGGAAATTATTAATTTACATTCTGAGGTAACCAGGTTATATTTATCCGTAGTCTCGCCAGAGTCCGCTTTTGCATTTTTGCTTTTCAAGACATGAAGGCAAAACAGAATTGTTTATGGTTAAACTCAAATAGAGAATGATATGGGAAGTCCCAATTAGTTATTACAGTCAACAAAGTACAGTTGAATTTTGATATCTCGAACACGGATTTCTCGAATATAATGAATAAGTCGAACTGATTGGGAAGTCCTTACCACGTATTTCTTAAGTATTTTACCTCGATATCTCGAACCTTCGGATATCTCAAAGTTTTTTATCGGTCCCATCGTGTTCGGGATAATGGAGTTTGACTGTATTTTTTCAGTTGCATTTGATTATGGATAAATCTGGTATCTCTTTCTATTATTCAGACTAATTCTTTACTAACCAATGTCACAGTTTTCTCCATACCACCCCTCGTCACACTGACAGGTATAGTCCGAGGCTGACACAGGATTACAGACCCCATTCACACAGGTGTTACTGCTACATACATCTGAAAAAGAAATGCTATCATAGGCAACAACTATCGGAAGGAAAGGCTTAAAAATTATTGTTGACTTCTGAACTGTCTAAAAAGGATTCGTGAGCCTTACTTTTTTCAGGTTTCTTTGTACTTTTTTAGTTTTTTCAGTGTTTTGAACGAGATTTTCATATTATTATATTTTCATATAATATAAATCATATACGGTACCAATTTTGATGGACCAGATGAGCGTTTCAACAAATTATGTCTCTTCAGTGATACTCATGCCAAAGCGTTGGAAATCCAAAATATTTAAATAAAAAACACTTTAAAGAGCTGAAAAAGGTGCCCAAAATAACTAATACAAAATAATGGTAAAAAAAAATTCATGTTTGTGACAACAATATTGGTAAAATGAAAAAAAATAATGATCATAAATGGAAATTAAAGTCAGTAGCACCTAAATGTCGCCATAGCTTATTTGAAATATCGTTTTGAGGTATTCATGTGTTATAAAAACTACGCATGTAAAGAGAAAATGTCAAGGTCATCGAAATATATACTTTTGTTACTAATAAGGCCTAAAACTTAATTTACCTGTAGGGAATCAAATAAAAGCGTAGTTTAATATAGCAAAAAGGTTAATCAATATTTCCTATCGAAATGTTATCTATATCCACAGCAGAGATAAGAAAAAAATACTTTGTTGCACCAGATTTGACAACCTACCATTTTGACAGAACTGGCCAGAGAAACCCGTTTGACACTGGCACTCAAACGTCGACGATGATGTCACCTGACATGATCCCCCATTTTGGCAATCTACGCCGTCACATGGTCCAGGGGCATCTTTAAAAAAAATTTTGGTTGCTTTTATTTGTGAGAAAAAAAATGAGAATTTTAACAGTATTAATATGTAAAACTGATTAAATTTTATAGTGTATAAGCAATTTTATTAAAATTAATGCTAAAATTTATATTAAATTTATATCATTGTGCATAGTGTAAAGATAAACATGAGGTTTCTGGAAAATAATAATAATATATGAATTAAATTTTTAAAAAAAAATGTACGAAAATCTGTATTAATATGTTTAAGGAAATATCTATCTGTTTGAATATGTGGGGCATTCTCCAGGAATAAATTTCAAGAAGGTATTTCAAAGTAATGCAGTGAAGATGAAGATTTTAATAAACTAAATGCCTAATAATTTTTCATGATAATCTATATATATTCCGTTAGCATTAGGAAAAGTCATCCGAGACGTTTGAAAGAAAATGTTATAAGATTATGCTTATTTCATTAAGTAATTTTGGAGAGTAAAAACCATATATCTTTACCACATACTACTAAGGTGTATTATTGGTTTAATTAATATTCTGATCTTTCTAGAATTTTTACTGTATTTTGGAATCTAAATATGCTTTAAGGGTCCGTAACTACCCTAACAAAATAAGCCATAGTTAGCTATACGTATAAATTGGTTACCTATAGTCTACTATATTTTCATAATTTTTCTATAGCTAATCAAAGTTTTTACTAAAGTTAATCAAAATATTTCACTATGAATTTTAAATTGTTATGTTATATACAATATTTTTATATAAAAAGGTTACATTATTGGAATGTAGTTTAAGAGATACAATGTGATAAGGTTCCAAATCTCATAAAAAAAGTTTTAAAGCGAAGTCTCATAGTAAATCAAAATATTTAGTTTAAAAAACTGTTAAGCGTAATGATAAATGGTGATTTTCTTTAATTTTATCACTGCAATTGAATTCCATTAGAGTTTGCAATCGTTTAACAGATGTTGCTATTTAGACATCTTTTAACTTTCAAAAACCCTTTTCAGTTTCTTGCATAGAAATCTAAAATCATTCTTTTAACAAAAGTAGCCTACAATTGACCAAGTGACCTCAAATACAACCCAACAAACTTCTTCATTAGACAAATACATGTACATGGAAAAATTACGAACCAGAAATATGTAACAGTTATTACCGAGAAATTAAGTAGGATGACAGCATGAATGGAAAAAGACAGTATATATTACACAGTACCTAGTTTTAATGGCGATAGTCTGGTTACTTACTACAGAGTAGAGGAGATATCCGAATGTTATCAACAGCCAATTCCTGATCACCGAAGTAGCCTTCAAATTCAACCTAGTATGTCAAATATTATATTAACATACACATCTTGATCGTTAAACATACAATCATGTCTTGTTGAATAATTTTGTTCATGAATTTTTAAAGAACATTATTTCAATATGAAGAGGATGCAATATAGTAAAATGATTTTGCATAAAAGATCTTATATACCTTTAAATTGGACACAGCTGGCATGTTTATTTCAGCTGTAGTCCAGACATTACCGGTGTTGGTATTGAACACGTGTGGTGTCGTCTTAGAATCGCTCATGATATTAACTGTGAGTCTCGTTTTCCACGTGCTGCGTAGATTTCTGTTAGATATGGCATAATCAAATCTCAAACAGCGGTCTGCACCTATTATAAAATCACGATATGACCAATTAAATCTCAAATAGTAATTTCGACCAAAAAAAGATAGGTAAATGGTCAAATCCAAACAAGTAAGCAAGACCTAAAAGAAAATCAAGTAACAGACCAATCAAATAACAAACAGTACTAAATACCTATAAAAAAAAAATAAAACAATGACTAATCAAATCTCAAGCAGTGATCTCAACCTAAAAGAACATTAAGTAACTGGCCAATCAAATGTCAGTCAATGATTTTAGCCTTTAAAAAGATCAAGTAACTGATCAATTAAACCTCAATTAAGGTCAGACGACACGTTCCTCAATAATATATAATTTTTCCTAGAATATTTGTCATTAGGTATTGCTACTCTAACAAGTTTCCTCACAAAAATTTGAGGTTCCTTACTAGGCATTACTGCAAAATACCAGAGGGTGGTGTTTTCTACATAATCCTATTTGAAATCACTTGAATTGTTAATATCACAATTTTTGTTGTATTTATTTTCTAAAACATTTTGAAAACATTTTAAAAATCACAAGATAATGTTAAAATTATGAATATTTTTTTAAATATATTATGAAGAAAAACATGACAGATATTTGAGGAACGTGATATCAGACCTTAATGAAAGTTTAACTAGTATGCCAATAAAATTTAACACTTGTTAAGGTATAAAATAACCCTTAAACTGAATTGTTTTTCTTTTCTAAAACTTCCCTTTTAAATAACGAACTATCCTTTTTCATTGTCTTAAATTTCCATTGTATTTGATTTGATTTAATTTCAGTTAATGTCTTATAAATTTTCTTCATTTCTAAAAAAATGATTTTGATTGTCATTCTGTATTCGATACTGACCGCCGTTTAGAAATACGATATTAAGAAGGAAGAGTAGAATTTCAATTTGATTAAAACTTACTTTCAAATATTGCAGATGTTTCCATTTTTGCAATGCTGGCATAGTAGAAAGGCGTATTGAGAAAGTAGCTGATCATTTGAGCCATAAGGTGTCCATTAGACGCTTGTATTTGGTTTCCATTCATATCAAAATACTGATAAAGTAAAAAAAAAAAGGAAAAGGTAATGAAATGTATAAAGTTATGATGACAAACAGTGAACAATTTTCTATATCCAGACGTTTTTCAAAAACATCTACATGAAAAGAAAAAGTCCCTGCTGTTGCCTTCAATTCAACATTAAAATATATCGACGACCATTTATCAATTAAAAATATTCATTTTCATTCCGACGTGGACTCGATATATCCCACTGAACTCGAATAAAAGATACCACAGAGTCTGACATATCTTTTTCATATTTGGACATTTTACTAGAAAAAGACGTTAATGCTAACCTAACAACATTTTTTATGACAAACGTGATAACTTCAACCTTTCTATCGTCAACTTCCCATTTTTATGTAGCAATGAATATACCCTTATCACTATCTGTATATGGGGTTTATGTCTCCAAGTTGATTCGTTACACAAGGGCATGTTCTACAATTTGACGAAACAAAGATATCAACAATCTCGTTTAAAATCGACACTTCGCAAATTCTATGGTAGATACAATGACCTTGTCAGCAAATACAATCTGTCATTGAGTCGAATCCTGACTGATGTTTTTCGTACAAATTGTTAGGCAATTATCTACACACAAAATTGTTTAAAGATTTTTCCGTTTGCCAGATGATGACAATGAGCACACAGCGGGTGTGACCGGTCGACAGTAGATGCTTACTCCTCCATGGAACCTGATCCCACCTCTGATATTTTTAGAGGTTCATGTTTCCTCTGCGCCAAAGGACAAGGTATGGTAACGGCCGAATCAGGCCCCTTATTTGATGTAAAAATCAGAGCACAGTTAAAATTGTGATAGTTTGTAGTTAAGAACTTTAAATGATGCTTGTTTTAAAACTAGCACTATTTTGGATTCAAAGCTTACACGGAGGCCACAAGAGGGTGCAGAAGTAGGACATTTTTACCGAATTTCCTCAATTCTGCTGAAATTTCGTCAAATTTGAGATACTTTTCACTTCAGGAAACATAGAGCACAAGCTTGCCTATCTGAGATTTTTATACGTAAGATGCATCTGATACTAATGCAGGAAATATATAAATTTGGTAGATAGGCAAACTTGTGCTCTATGTTTTCTGAAACAAAATATGCTGTAAAATCGATGAAAATTTGCATGAAAATGAGAAAATTCGGAAATTGACATATTTTCTGACCTTCCTGTGACCTCTGTGTATCCCATAACTTAGGACCAATACTTATTTTGTGGTAGGGGTGACAACAGGTTTTTATTGATAAACTGTTGCATAATTCTAAAAGACACCAAAAACCAGGGGCCAAAAAGGGGTCTTAGCCTATCTTGTCCTTTGTATTGTTTCAATGGACTTTGAAGCTTGATTTTTTTTCCCGTTATTTCCATCATCCAGTAGGGCGAGTTAACCATGCATCGGACACATACCTTGCTTCGGACAACTTTAAGCAATAAACTTTCATTGAATCCGAGTCTCCCCGTGTTTTTACTTGTTTCTGTCTTAAAGACGAAGATTTAAACTTTTTAATGATGCCGATTTTTATTTTCATGTTGTGATAAAAATACCACAGGAATGGCCTTGGAATTACGTCATATTTTGCATCATCAAAGGGGAGTAACCAGAAATTTTACGATTTTGCAATTTTTAGAGTTGTCGTTCTTTTAAATAGACGTCAACGGAACGGGTCTGACCTAGGTAAAATTTATCAATAATTGATAATTTTACAGAAATTTTCAAAAATTTTACTTCAATGTTTGTATAATATTTCTTAGAGTTGTTTTTTAACTAGTATGTTTATTTCACCGTACATCGGACACAAATTAACCATGCATCGGACACTTTCCGATGCATGGGTAATCACTTCCATTTTCATATAAAACCCAAATGACAGCTTTACGGAAATAGAAAATAGAAACTCTAAATTTTCAGTGAAAATACAAATAATCGATATATGACGACTAGAAGTGGACTCTGTTTATTTCTTTAAACTAGATGATGATAACCCACGAGACAAAGGCGCGAGTTGCCATATTACTAGTAATGTAAAGCCTTTCTAAGGCGATGTGATGCAACTAAAATCTCTCCACATTTGTGGATCGAAATAGTCATTCAAATTTAATTAGAAGGTTAGTTTTTAAATAAAAGATAAAAATCTTTTGATATCACTCATTTTAAAGCACCGAGATCAAGGTATGATATTTTTCTGGTTTAAATATCGTATGTCCGATGCATGGTGAATATTGTCCGATCCATGGTGAATTCTGACTTATTCCGAAAAAATCGATTTTTAATGGTATTTTCTCAATCAATAGGGCACGGTTGTGTCAAAAATTTATATTTTAACCACATACTACATATTAAGTTCCATTTTGATAATATTCGATCGGTAGCGATATCGCTAGTACTTGCTGAAGTGCGAGGGTGTCCGATGCATGGTGAATTCACCCTAAACAAAACGAATCGTGAACAGGGCCAAATCACAGATCTAGACCCCTGGATACCAGAGGTGGGATCAGGTGCCTTGGAAGAGTAAGCATCCACTGTCGACCGTTCACATCCGGCATGAGCCCTGTGTATTGAGCTGGTACACGGAGTTCTCAGTAGAAGAGCAATTACCTATCAAATGTTTGATGTTACAAGGATTTTAACAACCCCAATTAAAGTCAGCTTTTCGTAAATTCTACGGTCATTGTAATGATCTAGTTTGTAAATACAAATGTGTCCTATATTGTATGACATGGTAGAATTTACGAAAAGCTTACTTTAAATGGGGTTGTTAAAATCCTTGTAACATCAAATAATTTGATACAAGCTTGCCTTGGATTAAAAATTATTCCTACTCATAGCATACTCTTGTGCATCGAATTATTAGTTGGGAGACATTAACACCATATGCAGGTGATGCTGGAATATTACTTCATAAATAAGAGAAGTTGACGATTGAAAAGCTGAAATCATCCCGTCTGTCATACAGGCTAGTTATTAGTTGACCGTTATCGTCTAAAGTCAGTCATACAGCAAAATATGAAACAGATATAGATGTGGCAGACTCTGTAGTGTCTTTTATTTTAACTGGGATATATCATGTGTGCATCTCTTCGATCGGCTTTAAGAATCAAACTTATTCTTAAGTCAAACTTAATTACAATCATCTGTTAGATGTTAATGAACTTTAAATTTATACTCAACATTCATTATTAAGTGCACTCTTGTTATTTAACATACGAAACACTTTTTGTAAAATCATATAATTTTAAAGCAAAATCTTAATTTTTATCTTAAAATTTGAAGTGTTGTGAAACAAAAATTCAAAGTTAAATTTTTCCACAAAAAAAGCACTGTAAATTTTTTTAGATAGAGGTATCTTTGATAACATATGAGAGACCTATTCTCCTGCAACGTATCTATTACAATTAGGGGAGATAATAAACAAGTACCAGACCAGTTGACCACTGAAAATCTACACCGGTAGTCACGTGTCTCATCAATGTTGTAAAGTCATCCTCAAAACTATCAGTAACCTCAGCGGAAGCTGAAATAAAGAAACTCCAATATTTCCAATGTGATATTGAACACATTCACTTCTATTCATAATGCATTATCTCTTGATTTGCATAGTTTTTTGTTTTACAAAACCTTGATTTATCCAGTACCTAATTATAAAGGTTTAATACAGACCTGAGACTGTATCACAGTTCGTGCCTGAGTATCCTGCCGTACATTCACACGTATAGTCGTCAGCCGTAGCTCCGTCGACACAGGTAGCCGGATATTTACAGGGGTTACTGCTACAGGCTTCAAGATAAAAGAAAACTCACACTTAAATTACCTTAAAATGTGATATGACATGCTTAAATATTCAAGAAGGGTGACCTACCTGAAGGCACTGCTACCACCGTTAAGGTGAATCCATTTCCGGGGGCAATGGTGTTGTATGTATCGCTATCAAATTGGACAACCATCATATTGGTAGGTCCTAGGCGTTTCTTAGTGAAAACACCACCACCTGAGTTTCCACAAATTCTACAGAGGAAAGAGTTTTTATCCCACTATTTTTTTTTTTGGTTACAATTTTCTATTTTAATTTCTTAGTTATACAGGTGTTCAGATATTTCTAAAAGGGACGCCTTCTAAAATATATTTGCATATTAGTGAGAACTATAGCACTATCTTTACGTTCTCTTCTGTTCATCTCAGAGCGAACCCTGTATTTCATGTAATGATGAAAAACACGCTTGGAGTTAAACATTATACAATATTATCAAATTGATATATTGCTTTTAGGCATTGAAAATTAATTTAAATTGTCGAAATAATGAAAATTTGAAGTGCTTCATATTCATTTTTTTCATTGTGGCATTAAACAAAGCTGTTAGTGCATATTGTAAGGAAATGCTAACATTTTTAGATTCAAATTCAATTACAATCCAATTTCAACTCCAATTTCGATAGTTTTAAACACAGATAAATGCAAAAAATGTATGAAAAGCTACATAAGGTTTTAAACACACATGTTAACAGTAATTGACACGTGTTAACAATAATTATAACCGACACGTGTAAAAAAAAAATGAATAAAATATGTTTACTGTACGTGACACCTGTTAACAGTAACTAACACGTGTTAATTGAAGCTGACAGATACATACAACTTTCCTGGAGTCCCAGAAAGATAGTCTCTGACTTCCAGGAAATGAAAACAAGCGTCTTGTGGATTGGATGGCAGGTCCATGGAATCAACAGATAGGCGGATCTTAGTTTTCTCTGCACCCTGTTCCAGATAGAGGAAAGTATACTGTTTAAGATTGCTTAAAGGTTTTTGCGTCATTAATTTCATCCAGTAAATTTCTGCAAATTGAATTCAGTATGTATACATTTTACAAATCAGGTTTCCTCTTTTGATTAAACATCATCTACTTATTTACAATTTGCCAAATGTTTTTATGCAAATTAGTTGAACTGTAGTTGTTCTCATGTTTGATATTGAACTATCATAATATTTTATTTAATCATAACCCCGCTCTTATAATATGCGTATTAAACCCCATTTGGAATCTTCAGTATTGTGTTTGAAAAGATAATGTTACAGGCATGTGTGCAAATAAAATGATGATAAAAACTACTTGTATTTAGAAAGATAAAAATGTAATCAATATCCAGCAATTTAAATTTTTTTCTTTATTTTTGACACATTCCAAAAAAAAAGAGAACGAATCGTCACAAAATTAAAATTTTTACGAAATCAATTTTGAGCATAAATAAATGATATATGTATGAATGCCGGCAGGGATATACTAGTATTCTCTACCTTGATCAGCCAAGTACATTTGAGTCCAGCTGTGTAAGGGGACATAACGATTTGTTGTGATCCACCACTGGTCAGTGTTATGATGTCCCCACATCCTGAAATGTAAATTATTAGCTCTTCATGCTTTACCAAAGCAAAGATTTTTCTGACGTGTTTCATACCAATTGTTTGGCTTTTGTTATATACTAAATTTGACTTGTGAATAGTCCGTCTATCTGATCAAGACACAGGGAACACGGCGGATGTGATCGGTTGACAGGGAATTCTTACTCGATCTAGGCACCTGATCCCACCTCGAAAATTTCCGAGGGATTCGTATTTTATGCCTTGTTCACAGATTTGTATTGTTTGTAGATTTTTTTTTTTTTAGATCGATCACTGTTCATTATCTTCACCTTTTTCGTATAAAGTTTGCTGATTAAAGTTGTTGTTGATGATGTTGTTGTTCCCCGTTTCATTCGAGAATTTTTCACTCATAGATAGACGTGAAGATGGAGGTGAAGAGCTAAATATAGATTTGATACTTTACGACTCACCGGGAGAGGTATCGAGTTGTGAGCAGTCTTCCCCCTTTAGTCCCTCCACACAGACACAGCTACACACTCCTCCCATCTGCTTCACAAAACCCTCGTTTTGACAGGTGGGGGGATTGACACAGTCATCTGTAAAAATTTTATTTTAACAGACTTGCTACTTATAATTTGAATATCATATTACAATTCAAAGGTACATGTGCATTTAGAAACATCGTATTAACTTTGATTTAAAAAAAATGGCTTTTTATATCATTATGCAAAAATGACCAATCATTTCTATAAAAAAAAACCAAATCACTTTCTTTCTGTTCTTATGTTGTAAATTTCTATAAATGGTAAAAAGGGGCCAAAATAGGCGTTACTTACCAGCGCATTGATAGAAAGCATTCAGTTCAGCCTTGTCATAAAATGACAGGTCATCCTTCATCTGTCTGGGCAAATAAGCCAGATCAGGATCATTGGATATCATATAGGTTGTAGACCCGTACTGCAAAAAAGGTAATTCGCAAACCATAAAATTACATCTGTAAGAGAGGTATCCAAGATAAATGTATCTAGATAAAGCACAGTTTGTAAGATGAATTGATAAATGAATTGAAAATGAATTGATAGTTCATTCACCCTTTAATAACTGCTAGATATTCCATTGATTAGTATTGTTCGCGGTATGAAGTAAACATGTCCTTTGGGGGGGGGGGGGGGGCTGCGCACAATTCCAAATCATAATATATGTAACGTTCAAGTTGTCTTCAACTCTTTACTTATAATTTTTTTAATTTTGCAAATAAACTTCAAAATGTCTGCACCAGAGTTCATGCTTACTCCTATGATATTACATTAGATATGACGTGATGTCCGCAAACTATACTTATATTTCACTCGCATAATAATTATCCTAAATCAAATTAAAAGTCTGCTTTCGCTTTCGATAAACAGCTGTTAAAATAGCCAAAAAGAGATAAGGCTAGTTGTTACGGTTGACGGATCGCTGTAACCGGCAATTTTTAATGAATTTGGCAACAAACAGTCGTTCAATAATTTAATGAAACGTCATTTGCGAAATATTCAATCAAACATGATTTAAATGATACAGAAGAAATATGTTTTGATAACTGATTAAAAAACAAAATGTGCAAAAGTTTATCGTCATTCCCGGATCTTTAGGACATGGAATGATTACTGTAAAGAAAAAATTCAAACAATTGTTGATCTTGTCTTAGATATTTTTTTCGGTTTTCATTGAACAGCACAGTTTACCGTTGAATTTTTAGTACTATTTGCTAATTCATATAATGCCTATAAGATTCTCAATAAACGTGAAAACACTTGACATATTTCTTACCGTCAATTCATACTGGAGAACCGACCCTAGATCGTATTGGCGGGCATTGGTGAGTTTGAATCCCCTGTAGTTAAACTCCGCATCGCTGGAGATGGCGTCCCAGTTATAGGTGATGATAGGATCACGGTCGGCCTCTCTTGATTGTTCGTGCATCGCTCCTGCAGCGTGTAACATCTCATGTATTGCTATGTCAACCTTAAGGAAAAGAGAGTACTGTTTCAAGCAAACATTTGAAGAATTTTTAAAATGGTACTCCTAACCTTAACATGCTTTAGGAGTCAACTTTTCTATTACCTCAAATTTCTATAGATCTACACATTTTAAAGAAAATAATAAAAAAAAAAGTTCACCTGAATACATCTTTCCCCTCAGAAAATAACTATCGTATAATTCAGCCTAACATTTAATGGTTGTTTATTTGATTGATAAGGTTACTTTTAATGCACCAAAAGAAAACAGCTAACGACTCTTAGACAGTAAGAGGCATAAACTTACATATACACAGCCGTTTTCGTAAAGCCAAAGGTCTTGTACATTAGACGGCCCTGAGCCGTAACCAACATAAGAGGCACATCTATTATTGAAAGTAAAAATTAATATACATAATAAGTTTTGCAAACAATTTATGCAAACGTTTTAAACTTTCAAAAGGACGTTAGAGCTTTTAGGGAATTGTAAATTATATTTCTGCTTTCGAGATAGCAATAGTATTTTTAATAAATAATGGAAAGTACAATTCAAATGATTTTAATTTAATAGAGTAGTATGTATTTGAAAATACAATTTCAGAGTTACACCAAACAATGTTCTCTTATTTTTAAGAAGTGAAGAAATTAAATACAATTGCTGGTTTCCCACGATGTTGATGTAGGTGGATTCTGTTGTTCTAGGTATCCATGTTACGCAGGCCGCATCGTTAAACTTTTCCACTGCTTCATTAAATATCGTCTCTAAGTTACCAACTGCAATCAAATAGTGTATGCTTTAATTAAAACCAGAAGTCCCTGACGAGACTATAGCTCTACTGGTTTGTACTTAGAACAAAGGAAGATAAAAGTAGCACTTGGACTTGAAACTTTGCAACAGCAATAAAAAAGAATAATGATCCTTCGTTTAGTCTCTTTTTGTGGCAAGATTTATTGTAATCAGACTAAAACTGTAGGTGGAAAAGCCATTTAAAATAATTTTACAGAAATTCCGATTTTAGTAACCATGGCAACATCAAAAAACAATAAAGACAATTATGTATCTTAGTGAAGTCTACCTGTGTGCCAAGTTATACTAAAATCAGACCAAAACCGTAGGAGAAGTTGGGTTTTGAAAGAGTTTAATAGAAATTTCTATTTTTAGTAATCACGGCAACACCATTCATCACAATCAAAAATGGATAAAGAGAATTATGTATCTTAGTGAACTCTACTTGTGTGCCAAGTTATATTGAAGTCAGATCAGATCGGAGTAGTATTTTGAAAGTTTTTCACAGAAATTTATATTTTTAGTAACCATGGCAACACCGTTTATTGAAATCAAAAACCGATAGTAAGAATTATGCATCGTAGTGTAGTCTACTTAATTGTATGCCAAGTTATATTGAAATCAGACCAAAACTGTAGGAGGAGTAGCATTTTGAAAGTACTTCCCAGAAATCTCTATTTTTAGTAACCATGGAAACACCGTTCTTGAAATTAAAAACCGATAAACAGAATTATGTATTTTTGTGTAGCATACTTGTGTGCTAGGTTATATTGAAATCAGACCAAAACTGTAGGAGGAGTAGCGTTTTGAAATATTGTTTACAGACGGACGGACAGCTAGAGAGACAGACAGACAGACGGACGGACTACGGACACCTTACTATCTCATAAGCTCTTCTGGTTTCTGACCAGTAGAGCTAAAAAATGTACATTATAAAATTCACTTGAAAAATAAAGGCTTTCAGTTCTGTAAAAAACTAAAATGTTGGTGCATAAATATTTTTTTTCTATAAGTAAAGCAGTCTTAAGGAATATAAAATACCCAAACTGTGGTATAATTGATGTACATGTATATTGATATATCAAGTGGAAATTTTCAAGATACTCAAAGTTAGCAATTTCCAATTGACTCGACTTTTATTGAAATGCTTTATCTACAATCTGTTCCTTACTCAAAAAATGCAATTTTTACAAAATCATCCCATCAAATTAATTATAACATTACGGCTTCGGTATGTGTTTCTTTGTATACTGTATGGTATTTCTCTGTTAGGCCATTTAAGGTTGTTTTCCGGAACAAAAAGTCTCTTCTGTCTCCTTGCTGGTGGTTGCTGTCGGAAAATAAGGGAGAGAACTTGTCTATGCATATTAATAAGCATAATGAGAGTTATGTGTTTCGTTTCGTTTCCAAATTTTAACATCTTTCTTGACATTACATGTACTTTTTATTTCGTATTTAGCAATTTTCTTGGAGTCAAGTTTAACATAATCTAATTTTAATTCATCGTTAGGTTAAAACCAATTTTATATATTGTAAACAAATATAAAAGAAGTACGTTCGAAATATTTTTTTAATCTTTTGTTATCAGTCCAACATAATATGCATATTCCTACACATTACATATCCAAGACTAGTATAAATCAGTCAAGCAACCATTATTCAATAGCTAATTATACCCTGCTTCCATTACGTCACTCTTCCCTCACAAAGCAATTTTAAATCTGTTTAATCTTTCTTACCGGTTTCCTTTTGTGCATAGGATGCGAGTCCATTCTCTGTGCTATTTCAAAATTCTTTGGGCTTTTGTTTAGGTTCTGTGGCTAAATATTAAAAAACAAACAAGAAAATTACAATTAACTAAAATTTAAAGACAATAGACGATTCTTTCCATGAAACTAATGCAGATACGCATGGATGATACAGAATTCTCAAACCAATTATATAATGCAAGAAGTTTATAGTCTACAATACTTAGCAAAGTCATTCTACATGATATGTGCATGCCAAGACGTCTTAACTAAGTTTAGGTTTGCTAAAAACTACATGTCAGAAAGAACCAAATTGAATGTTTCTGCCTTGTGTCATAAAAGATTTAAATTCATTTGTATTTAAATAACTTATCTACGATTTATATTAAAAAAGATATTTTTTTGCGAGTTTTTAATAATTAATGACTTATTTTTGCTTTGTTTTTCTGTCAAGAAAGCATTAGAATATTAAAATCTGTGCACAAATGAGGTGAAGACTTCAACTTGAAATATTGTAGGATACAAGACTGAACTTTTTATGATTAGAATATTACTTATGTTCACATCATCTTCTCTGTTGTTGGCTTTAAGTTTAAGCAGCTTAGATTTGATAACTCCGTTGCGAGGGATAACAAATTGTAAGAATATATTTCTACAAATGCAGAATATGCGCAATACAGACATGTCTTACAAGTTAATAATCACCTGATGTTTTCAACAGGTGCAATTTAGTAGGGCACTTGCATTCCGTTATAACTCAGAAATCATTCATAATTATCACTACTCAAATAAATTTACACTGATTAAAAAACCAAACTGAAGCAGCAGTCCACATACCTCATGGCATGGAATATATGATAACTCAACATGCTGAATATTCAAAACCTAGTGTCAACTTTTTATTTAGTACTTAGAAATATAAAAGTATTCGCCAAAGAAAATATAAAAAGTAACGTTTCGCTTCCCTTGCAAAAAAAAATAAATAATAAAATGAAATAAAAAATTTATCCCCTCGCATCGAAGTAGGAGAGGATATATTAAGGCTGTGTGTGTGTTTTCGGGGGGTGGGGGGTTAATGGTTGCGTAACAAAGTTAAGCAAGTAATCAATCATATCAGGATTGATATGCTCCGCTTTGCAGTGCTCTTGTTATTTTAAAAATACAAGAAATTTTATGAAATATTGCTTTACAATTTTTTTTTAACTTTTCCTACTTACTATGGAAAAAAGGTTTAATGCATAACAGGTCGAAAGAAATGAAAAAGGAAACATTTAAAGGGTGAAAATAATTGATACGCTTCTTCTTTTATTTTTATCTTTATTAGAGTAATCAACCGTCCGCTAAATTTAAACATCAAAGAATAAGGGGTTTGAGACAGGAAGAACAAAGATCACATTAAAGTCGGACAAAACTTCGCTGAGGGTCATAAAAAGCAATGTTGAGTTTATGTTTTATCATCATTGTATGTATATTTTTGCAATTTTATTGTGCCATTTTACTCATTGCCAAATAAAACATTTTCGATAGACAAAACATTTCTTTTTATTTCATAGATTAACAGTGCAACGTTCATCTATATAATCTTGATAAATATTTTAAAGTTGAAATTAAACTCAAAAGAAAAATTCATGGAAAAATCTGGGAGCAACAGAAGGTAAATGTGCTAAAAACAAACTTTTTCTCAACCAAACATATCTATGCCCCAAAATAATTTGATTTAATTTAGCCTAGTTTTTTTAAGAGGGCTGGGTGGTTGTGGCCATTTTTAGACTATATTGATCTCCTTTAAAAGAAGAGGTCCATATAAAGATATACAAAAATGGTCAAATTTTATAACTAAAATTTATGAAATTTTTCTTTGCCAAATGATTGTTGACAGTTTAAGATATCATATCTAAAAACTTAAGTTATATCTGATGATTAATTTGTTGACCCCCAGCCTCCTTAATGCGTTCAACACAAAGTTTTAATATAGAATCTGCAAAAACGGCCAAAATGGTTCTTAAATCTATAAACGAAACATTTTAAGACAAAAATTTACATGTAAATTCGATTTCCTGGTAGCAATAAATTTCAAACATCAGCAAGGGTTGTTCGGTAAAATCTTGAAATCGCACTTTCATCGAAAAATTAATTGGCCCACTAAGCTGTAATTTTCAGCAAATGTTTATCATTTTTAAGTACATAAATACCTAAATAACTATGGCAGAAAATAATTTTTTAATGCTTATTTAAGCTGAATTGTTATACTGATTGAAAAAATGAATAAAATCTTAGGTCCACATAATTTTTTTTTTTTTTTTTTTTTTTTTTTTTTTGTTTTTTGGCTTGCTTAATTCTACTGCCTATGCCAAGAAGAATGAGAAAATTTTGTTTTTCAAATATTATCGGCATTCTTTCTTTTCAAATTTTATTAGGAAAAACATAGATTTTGATAGTACTTGACAGTAGAAATCAAACAAGTTAACATAAAACACAAGCATTGCACTTCCTTTACCGACTGGAAAGAGAAACCCTAACAAAAAATTACAATTATAGTTAACTGTAGTTTACTATAGTAACTTTGGTAAATCAAAGCATTTTACTTTATTTTACTATGGATTTCAGATTGTTATTTTTCATGTTCTCGAATCCATACATACACATATTTGACACTGAATAAAAATCTTACTTGTACGTTCACAGATGTGTATCACTTGTCCAAATTTTCCATCATTGTTATCGAATTAAAGAAAATATAAGCTTCAAAATCCCACAAAACGTTGTACACTTATGCTTCATAGTAAACAAAAGTATTCAGTATACATGTAGTTAACCAAAGTAAACTATAGTTAACTATAATAAGTTTTTGTTAGGGAAATATTACAATAAAACAGCTTAAATTTAGTTGGATTTATCCTTCACTAGTTAAACTTGAAAATTTGTGATGCATTTGTTTAATGTACGAGGGCCGTTCAAAAATTACGCGGACTTCTTGCACAGAAAATATATTTGACGACATAATCAAGCAAAAAGTCATAGATAATACAAAAGAATCTTTTTATATATGATCATCAAAATTTTATATCGAAATACTAATAATTGGTATCAATTTCAAGTGATTTAACAGGACATCTTATGAAGTCCCGGCGCACTAAATCCTTCAACATCACGGGCATTTAACAAAATGGGAGCTTTCATTTTATCAATATTTTCCCTTAGTATTTGATACTGTATAGTTTGGGTTACCTTATCCACTCAGAATAAACATCCATATACCTATTTCCTGTTTAACCACTGTGAAAAGTTTCAATGATTATTATAGAAAACTGCTGAAGTCACAGGTTATGCCATCTATGTGCTATCAATACCAAAAGTATAAGGGATACATACAGTAATCAACAAATGATTCACCCCAAAGCCCCACAGGTTGAATGACAAATTGGTAGGTTAACCGTCTTCAATTGCATTGCGTGCAGAATTTTTTCGGCAAAGAAAATGAAAGTAAACTATTTTTGTTTTTATGCATTAACTCAGGTATCCTTATCAAAGTTCAAAAAGGTACCTGACAAAAGATTATTCAATATTTTATATATATGTACATCCTTTAAGAAATTGCACTTTATTTGATAATAATTAAGGAATATAAAAGCCCTACTCCAAACTGTGTAGCAAATTGATTTTACCTGATGACGAAAATGTGTGAGGTCATTTGAACTGACTAATAGAAGTTAGAGACTGATTAAACCTAGTTAATAGTGATTTATCGATGTCCCAAAAATCATATAAAAGTTATATCTAAAATCCTTAAAGCTGTCTGCCAAATGTTTAAAATGTAATCAAACAAAAGACAGTAGCTCGAATGTAGATCGATTGACATTAACATGAACAGTGCAACACAACTGATGTACAGGGACTTTCGACATTTTTCGTCGATTTTGAGATTTTCAGAATCTTGATACTTTCTTTATTTATACAATGTTCTATGAAAATAAACGTATATTATAGTGAGGTAGAATTTTCGTTGAATTGAGCAGATATTTATATAATGTCTATTTTTATTCAGAACATGACTTCAGTTTAATGATTTGAACTGACATAAATATTCTAAGAATTCAATGACAACGACCTTCTTCATAACATCACGTCTAACACCCGTGTTTGTAAACAGGGCCCTACCTCTATTATTGTTAGTGTTTAAGTTTTTCCGAGTGTTGTGATTTTCTTTAGTCTGAACACTGAGCATGGACTGACAATACTGGCGAGTTGGTTTTGCTGTCTTGTAATTCTACTCTAAACTTTCTGGATAATATTATTTATTTATTTATTTCATTATCTCTACTTTTTTAATTATTGAGGATAAAGTTTATTTGTGAATGTGCAAGACTATGTGTCAATCAAACGCGTTCCGATATTCGAAGTTTTAATAATTTCCAGATAAAAGAATTTGATTAATACATTTCGGTGTTAAATGATCTAGCGACAAATGAGTCATGATGTTATTTAGAAAATTTTAGTAAAATATTAGCTTCTAATCTGTGTCCCAGCCCCTTTAATGAATGATCTCGTCTCAGACATGAGAATTATACTATGATGTCTTCAAGTTTAATTTAATGGAATGGAAGGAACTCTCATCATTTTGGGCTTTCTAATTTAAACAAAATTGAAGTAAATGATAATTTTACGCAAAACTACTTATGCATTGAACTAGATCACTCTTCCTTAATGATCTGCGTTTTAGCAAACTCCAAACCCATCTAAAGTGAAAAACATGTTAGTATTTCTTCCGGACATACTGTAAACTACATTAATTGAAGAATATTTTTCATGGCCTACAGATTTCTTAGTTGTGTATTTATGCAGAATGCTTCTTCGTTAGCGAAAATTGAATGGTATCGAATGGATATCAAATTGACGTATCGCGAATGAAAGTTATGGCGAATTATAAACTGTTTACAGTAGCCATAAAATCAATTTTCGTGCATTCTTGTATTGTAAACTATTGATCGATCATTGTGCATACTTACTGGGACTTTAATATTTTAGGACCCATTCAAAAGAAATAATAAAGAAACAAAACAGAAAAAACTGAAGAAGGTATACAGTGAAACTTATCTGATGTTGTCCATTCGGAAATCTTGCTTAATACGATGAAAAGCTGAGGTTCCTTTTAATCGATTCAATTGTTAAAAATGTTATTTAATCGGAAAAATTGCCTATAATCCGGCCAATTTCTTCGGTCCCAGTGGTGTTCGGATTAGACAAGTTTCACTATTCTTAACGCAAGTCTTTTGTTCTTTTCTTACATTGGGGTGATAAAAACTTTTATTCTCAGCAGATACACACAGAAGTTTGGGTGATTTAGAATTTTCGTATATACTTTTAATCTTTAAACACAGTCTTTCTCTTAGCTACGGTAGGATGTAGAATTACCTTTCTTTTCTTTCCATCTTTATACACAATCATTCTCTCGGCTAAATCCTCTTCTACTGAGTTAACGTCCAGAATTTTCTACAAGGATACAGAAAATAGTGGTAAGATAAATGATTTCTTTTTTAAAACAATTTTTAAACAGGTACAGGGAATATTTAAGAACTGTTGATTCACTTTGCATGTTTTTAAATAGTTTGTCATCATTAGAGAAGTGTCTGAAAAAGATTCAAAACTTCCTAACAGTAACTTACCATGGTATAATTAGAGTTTTTCATCGAATACATAAAACAGAAATATATAATTTTGTATATATTACATAAAGACAGTGGCCTAACCTTTTTGTTTAAATGACACGCACGAACTAAGATACAACAAATCATCCAACTTTAATGCAGGTAAGGTATGTTATTTTTAAGTTAATCATAACCTTCTCTGCTGACAATTTCTTGGATGTAATACTATTAGTTAAACTATCAATTATTTTAGGAATGACTCTAATTCTTGGCAAAATTATTCGAGTATAACCTGGCTTGGGTCAGTTTACGCTTTATAATCCGCGAAGCGGATTATAAAACAGCGTGAACTGACCCAAACCAGGCTATACTCGAATAATTTGGCCAAGAATTAGAGTCATTCCTTATAATTTAATTTTAAAATCATTAAATAACTATGGGTGTAAAATTTCGTTGCTTTTTATTAGTTCAAATTTGCCGCTCAATAATACAACCATAGTAACGGAAGTAACGGAATTGATGGGAAGCGAGGGGGGGGGGGGGTAAAAACTGATACACAGGTCTAGCAGCCTTTTTGATTGTTTACATGTGGTAAGATCGAATTATTGTTTGAAGTTAAAGGTACATTTATTAAATCTGGAATTTTCCATGAATCCCGAGGACTGGAAATGAGAGGATTGTATGGATGCATATGATTCAGCTGGTTGTCAGGGGGTGTGTCCCCATACCAAACCAGGTTATATAAATAAATAATTTGTGTTCCTTTTTGGATATTAACCAATCAGAGGCTAGAATACAAACAAAATTAGATTATTAAGATTTGTAACACTTCACTTGAAATTCATTCTAATTAACAATAAAGACATTGTAATTTTCTCATCATGTTTTAGAATCTAAGGTCTTTATCATCTAGGGATTGTCTTAAAAGAAAACTTATTTAACTGTTGCTTACACACGAAAGAAGAATACGAAGATATTAGAAAAAAATGATACTCTCACAAAACAATTTTTTTTGGGGGGGGGGGGGGGCTTTTTTGATTAAACTCTTTCTCTTTTTATTTACTGCATTCGAAAATAATTTCGTTTTTATTGATTGTAATCTAAAAACAAAGAATTTTTTTTTTAATTCTCTTTCTCTCTTCAGTTTTTGATACCATATAAGGAAAATTATTTTGCCAATTGTAAAGTGTCTATTAATCGGTATTTTCCTTCGGAGAGAGAATATAAAATTTCATTGATAAAACAATCGGATATCGCCTTAGATATGCAATAAACAGCGACTAAACAAAAACAAGATTATGAAATTGGAGGTGATAATAAATTGTATTTTCTGATACAGGGGCATTTTGCAGGGTAATTGCTTGCAACTTGAAAAAATACTCTTTGGACATATAGCTAAGCATAATAGCACATTACCGCTAAATTTCTCTAAATTGCAACTTAATTATCGTTTCCTGTGTGCATAACCGCTACATTTTATTTTGAAAAATACAACTTATTTCCACTACAAACTTAAAACTGTTTGTGAGGTATCATAAGTATGCATAGCACAGAACATTAGTTCTACTCAATGTAGTCGAAGTACAATGAAGTATACGAGTTCTTTTCAATATAATTCATTCAACAAAGGTCGAAGTATAACTATCAAGTCAAATGAACGTCATGGCTTCCATTGAGAAATTTGTTACACAGCAATGCAGGTTTAATCTTTGATGATTACAAATTTTGTAGACATTAAAAATACTACTTTACATGTGGTACCTATACATGACATGCATTAAGCGATTTCAACTTTCCTATCGTCAACTTCCCTAATTATGTTCCCCAAACGGAGTTTGGGAACATATTGTTTTTACTCTGTTTCTTATTATTATTATTATTAAGGTCTTCCGTTTCAGACGGAAGACCTTATAGTGATTCTACTGTTTCTTCTTTTTATTATTATTATTTTTTTTTTTCCCTTTTCTTTTCCGGGCGATTTCTCAGAGATGGCTGGACGGATTTTCTTGAAATTTTCAGGGATGATAGAGGATGAAGATACCCCTAGGCGTTTTTTTCATTTTTTCAAAATTCACTTCCTGTCGTCAGATATGTCCGATTTCCGTTTTTTTCAAAAATATTTTGTCCCAGTCATATCTCAGAAACGGTAAGAGATTAAGACACCAAACTTATATGGTTAATAGATCTTGAGGAGTAGGCAAATCCATTTGGGTTAAGAGCGTCAGCCGTCACTTCCGGTCGTCACAGGAAGTGATAATAGAAATCGAAAATTTCAACTTTTCTTTTTTGAATCTTTTTCTGCATCACATTATTGCATTTCATTTGTAGTTTCGAAATATGTTGGTCTCACCGGAAACAAAAACGTCAACTTCCGGCTATAAGCGAAAAACTGCATAATTTGAGTATTTTACTTTCCCATAAATATTTTTTATAGATAAAGTATTTGAATTGATTTTTGAATATGTTATCAAGACTGCAAATGTCTAGAGTAACGTCAAATATCTTTGTAAAATTCACTTCCGGTCGCGCGTTTGAATGTCCGCAAAATGAGAACTTGTCCGAGTGATATCTCAGAAACGGTAAGAGATTTAGACACCACACTTATAGGAGTATTAGACCTTGAGGAGTAGACAAAACCATTTGGGTTAAGAGCATCAGTCGTCACTTCCGGTCGCCACAGGAAGTGATCAAAGAAATAAAAAATTTCAACTTTTCTCTTTTTGAATAAGACTTGCATCATATAATTGTATCTTTTTCACAGTTACGATATGTGTTAGTCCCACCGGAAACAAAAACAACATAGTAGGGGTTTTGAATTTTTCCCCAACATATCGCTTATAGAGAGAGTTCTTTAAATGATTTTTATGTATGTTATTGAGACTGCAGATGTCTAGATTGACGTCAAACATCTTAGTAAAATTCACTTCCGGTTGCGTATTTTCCTGCCCTCAAATTGAGATTTTATTCACCTAATTGCTCAGCACCAGTAAACGACTGAAATCCAAAACTTTCAGGATTGATAGTCAGTCACCAGTTTTTCTACATCATGTGAAAATCGTACATTGCCGTCAGTATCCGGCGTGACCGGAAGCGATGCAAACAAGGTGAATTTTCCAAGTTTTTTTTTCTTTTTACAGAAATGTTTGGCTAATGCAGATGTTAGATAGACTAAAACCATGCAAATTATTTTCACTGGAAGTGCCGGCCGAAAAATCGGAACATGAGTAATTTTTCATGAAAACTTTTAGGGATGATCAGTTGTGAATAATTTAGGTGTAGAATGAACATTTTATTTGTTTTGAGTAATTTAAGTCTTGATGAAGTAAAAAAAAAAAAACGTAGAAAGTAATTTTTTTCCCGGGATTTTCTCAATGACCTTGACCTTTGATCTTGACCTCTGACCTTGACCTTTGATGACCTTGACCTTTGACCAAAAGGTCAGAATCAATAATTAATTTTTAATTTACTCCTCTTTCCCCCCTCCCCTTCCCAAAAAATCAACAACAAAAAATCAAAAAAAAAAAAAAAAAAAAATCAGATTAATATCAGCCTAGAATATTTTTCTAGAACTCATACAACACCTCGGATCGACATAACATTTCGAGGTATTGCAGAAGATATCTGAAAGAAAGTTTCCTGAAAATTTGATGGTGAATCTCTGAAGTGTATAGAAATTATGAATGTTTACGGCAAACACTATATCTTTTTTCGTATCTGAAATTTAGATGCCGATGAACATAAAAATTAATTAAAGCTTTTCTCGGTTATTTCTTCAGTTGTTATGAATAGCAGTCGATTCTCTTGATATGATATGATATTTTAACACCAAGCATTCTTGCTTTCTCTAGTATGTGGAATTTATTTCAATTTTATTTAGAATTAATATTAATCGAATGAATGTCGAAAACAGCGATTTTTTCCTAGCAAATAAATTTTCACGCTCTCATTGACACATTTTTCTTTCTAAAATCCCTATCTGAAATTTTAATTTATGCTACTTACATTTAATTCAATCCACACAGAGATGCTTATTTTAATCTTACCTATTATTTCAGGATATTCAGTCACATCCGAACCCGATCCGAAATTTTCCTATATTTGTAAACAAAGTGTCGACACTGCAGTTCTATAATGCATCATAGGCTCTGAATGATTAACTCAATGCATTCCAAATATAGACCATCTCAAATGATTTTTTAAACCGAAAATCTGCAATTGTATTGTACACCAATCGTGTTTCTCAATCCATTCAATTCTGATTACTACATTCCATAACAAACAAAAGAACACGTGCTTTTATTTCTATTTATTCTTAAACAATTAATTTACTACCTCCATCTTCATCAGAATACGTGGTCTAGTGGTTAGCGCGCCTGCCTTACAAACCAAAGGTTTTGAGTTCGATCCCTGCTGGAAGGACATTTTTTTTTTCATTTTCAGCTTTTTTTTCAAACCAGTTGACAAAAGAGTCAAGAAAACGGAAGACCTGTTATTGCCTAGGCAATAAGTATCTAGTTATTATTATTATTATTCTTTTTTATTCTTATTTCTTCTCCGGTACTTTTTGTTCCGCGAGTGTTCTCGGAAACTGCTCATCCAATTGAGTTAAAACCTTTTTAGGGTTAATAGGTATGTTGTGTAGATGTGCGGAACGAAGGTCATTTTGCGCGCACATGCATGCACGTGCGGGCGCGTGCAATGAGTGAAATGGCTGACATAATTTATATGGCCGTAACTTTTACATTTTTTTATGAAATGCTTTGAAACTCATAACATAAGTATATATTAGTAGAGTAAACAAGATGAAATAGTTGAATTAGCATGAACTCACGCGCATGCACGTGCGCTTCGCTCTGATTGGCTGAAACAAAAGTCTCAATATCTTCCTTGTTTTTTGACAAAATACTTTGAAATTTAAAACATAGTCATACATTAGAAGGTTCTACAATATAGTATATAAGAATTATCATGAAAACACGCGCATGCGCGTGTGCTGCAATCTGATTGGCTTAAACTTTAAATGGCTAAATCTCTCTTGGTTCTCAACAAAACAGGATGAAATTCAGAATATAAATAGGTATAATGGAATCCTACATTATGCTACTATCAAAATTGAATGCAAGACCATGCATGAGCGTGCGCGCACGTGCAATGCGAAAAATGACCAATATAATTGATATAGCCGTAACTTCTATACTTTTTGATGAAATGCTTTGATACTTACACTATAGAGAGATACTAAGAGTGTAGAAAAGATGATATGGTCAACATGCATATGCATGCACGTGCGCGCGAGTGCAATGCTAAAATGACCTATAAAATTGATATAGCTGCAACTTTATACTTTTTGATGAAATGCTTCAATACTTATAATATAGAGAGATATTAATGGTGTAGACAAGATAGTTTGGTCAACATGTACATGCATGCACGTGCGCGCGCGTGCAATGCTAAAATAACCTATACACTTATATGTATATAACCGTAACTTTTATATTTTTCGATGAAGTGATTTGATATTCATTATATAGAAATACATTAATAGTGTAGACAAGATGATATGGTCAACACGCACATGCATGCATGTGCGTGCATGCAATGCTAAAATGACCTATATACTTGATTTAGCTGTAACATTTATAATATTTTATGAAATGCTTTGATACTCATTATATTAAGATATATTGATAATATAGACAAAATGGCGTGGTCATCCTGCACTTGCATGCACTAGCGCACGCATGAAATTCTAAAATGACTCATATACCTGATATAGCCATAACTTAAAACATTTTTTGATGAAATGTTTTGACACTCAGAATATAAAGATGTATTAATAGTATAGACAAGATGACATGGTCAGCATGCACATGCATGCACGTGCGCGCTCGTGTAATGCGTAAAACAGCCAATGTACTTGATTGTCTTATTTAATGAAACTTATTGGAAATAAGACACCAAAAGGAGGTTGGGGAGCGTTTGGGGAACATCTGTAACGGTTCCCGTTACAATTATAACTAGTTTATGTTGCAATATACCATCATCATCTGCGTATATAGTTTCCGACACTCATGTGATTTGATACTAAAAAGCATGTTGTATGGAAGAAAAATTTCTAAAGTGATGCAAGTTATTGACAAATAAGTAGATGATACAAGAATATCAATAGCCAACATTTTGCAAATTCTACAATCGGTATAATTACCTCTTGAGCAAATACAGTCTTTTGTTCAGAGAAATGTTAACAGAAGGTTTTCATACAAAATGAAAGGCTTAATTTTCATACTGAATATTTACGGAATTTTTTTCGTTTACCAGATCATAACAAAGAGCGCTAGCACGTGCGATGTTTGTTGCCTACTCCTCCATGGCACCTAATCCCATCTCTCATGCTTTTAGAGGTCCGACTTTGCTCTGCATACAATTTGTTTTGTTCCAATAAATCTTCAGTTTGATTACCGTCCTTTATATTCCATCTATTTATTTCTCTGGACACTATTTGTGATTGACAAGACCGCCGTTGACTTCAAAATTAGATTGTCGATATAATACATACTACTTATAGAGTATTTTCAGCATCATGACATTATTGACATAGATATACATGTACCTTTATTATTAAACCAGAAGTCTCTGACGAGACTGTAGCTCTACTGGATGTACTTATAAAGGAAGATAAAAGTAGCACTTGGACTTCAAACTTTGCAACAGCAATAAATAGAATAATGATCCTTGGTTTAGTCTCTTTTTGTGGCAAGATTTATTGCAATCAGACTAAAACTGTAGGAGGAGTAGCGTTTTGAAAGTATTTCAAGAAAATTTCTATTTTAAGTAACCATGGCAACACTGTTCACTGAAATCCATAACTGATTCAGAGAATTATTTATCTTAGCGTAGTCTACTTGTGTGCTAAGTTATACTAAAATCAGACCAAAACTGTAGGGGGAGTAGTATTTTGAAGGTATTTCAAGGAAAATTCTATTAATAGTAACCATGGCAACAAAAATCATCGAAATCTAAAATCGATATAAAGAATTATGTATCTTAGTGTAGTCTACTTGTGTGCCAAGTTATATTGAAATCAGCTAAAACTGTAGGAGGAGTAGCGTTTTTTAAAGTTTTTCACAGAAATTTCTATTTTTAGTAACCATGGCAACACCGTTCATTGAAATAAAAAAAACAGATAAACAGAATTATGTATCTTAGTGTAGTCTACTTGTTTGCCAAGTTATATTGAAATCAGACTAAAACTGTAGGAGGAGTAGCGTTTTGAAAGTTTTTCACAGAAATTTCTATTAATAGTAATCATGGCAACACCGTTCATTGAAATCAAAAAACCGATACACAGAATATTGTATCTTAGTGTAGTCTACTTATGTGCCAAGTTATATTGAAATCAGACCAAAACTGCAGGAGGAGTAGCATTTTGAAAAATTGTTTACAGACAGACAGACAGACGGACGGACGACGGACACCTTACTATCGCATAAGCTCTTCTGGTATCTGACCAGTAGAGCTAAAAATATACTAATTTATAATATGTTTTTCCTTTTAAAGAAAATTCCTGGATGCGTGCATGTATAAGAAACAGACGAAATATTTCAATAGCCCATTAAGTAGATAACAAAGACATATAGTTTATAAAAAGCTTACTTTGTACCGTATTATACAGAAAGGGGTATTTTTCATGGAAAGAGCGAAATAAAAAAAGCAATATAAACTATTATATACCTCATAACTCTGATTATCCGACTTCAAATAAAAAGTATTTTCAAAGCTTTCAATTCAAACAACTGAACTAACGAAATAATGATATCACCAATCACATAATGATAAAAGCAAAATCATAGAGGTACAATGTACATTAAATTTCAACATTTTAAGATGAAGACCTGTTAATTTTAAACGAACGTTCAATAGGAAAAATCGACGGTTATTTTTAATTTATTTCTTAAAGCTCATTTTCTTTCTAAAACAATTTAGCTATTTTGGAAATATCCCTTTACTAAAATATGCTTATATATAATTATTGAACACTTTGATGAATATTGTTAAAATTAGCCTTAATCAACACGTTAAATTGATCAGAAGAAAGATTTCTGAACTGTGGTATGTATAACACATGTAGTATACAGAAAATAATAATTTACACAAATTGACAACTAGAACCTTTAAAGAGACATACAACAAAGAAATTTTCTGATCTCCTATGCAGAAGAGTTATAATGGTTTTTTGATATTTCTTTCAATGGAAATAAAAATTAGGAAATGTTAATTTTTAAAATGTAAAAAAAGACCTTAGAAATGTTCTCATAACCTTTTCAGTATCATAATATTTCTATTTTTTTATTATATAAAATTGTATCCTTGCATTTCTTCACTTCACATCAAATTTTGTGACTTGGACAAGCATAAAGTTGTTCAACTAAACAAATACTATTTTTTTTCAGTGAGAGAGGTTCATATGTAAGCAAGAATAGTTGAATTTTGGAGGAAAAAAAATGTTTGTGTAGTTATCCTCAAGAAAGTTTTCCAAAAAGGAATGGAAATTCTATGATTTTTTATCTCTGTCATTGAAAAGATGTAATATTCTATTCTTTAAAAAAAAAAACCACACAATTCAGGACAGTACATTTCTTGTTGCTCTAAACAGACAAAAGCATCATGTAAAATGACGAACCTTGTTCAGATCAGTCGGGTCTAAGTGTTTCGTTTTTGATCCCTTTCCACCAAGAGAAGTTTTCTTGGAGTTCCCAGATGATCCTAGAGAATGAAGAATTAAATATCAACTCAAATAATGGCAATTATATAGTATAAAAATTCATTCGACTATTAAGGATAAATGAACAGTCCTTTTTATGAAATTAGCAATATATACATTATAATTTAGTGAGATTAATATTTTTAATGGTAATCTTAATACCAATGGTCAAAGTAGGTATAGAAATTTTGTAAGATTTTTCAACAATGTCATAGATTGTGTACAACAATTTTTACAGCTTTAAATAGATAATGACACAATGTGACATATTCTTAACAATAAAGAAAATCTTCAATTTCTTTATTTTTATTTATATTAAAAATCAGCTAAAACTATTTATCAATTAATGCATCATTTTTTGTGTATGTGTGTGTGAGCAACTTATGCTTAGAACAAAGGATTTTTCAGTCCAAATATACGACTTTCTTATCAAACACTCCTTAATAATATATCCTATCAAGTAACAAAAGAACTTACCACCAGGTTTACCTGCCGAGCTTTCATTTACCCTAAGTAAAAGAACAAAAATAACAAGAAATGCGGACGTTTTCTGCATGGTTGTATCTTATAAAGCTTATCTGTGGGTTTGTTCGATCTTTCAACCAAATTTATATTCTTAAGGCATCAGTCATTATCCACGTGATTCATCTACAAGACAAGAATAACTGCCACTAAAATCAATTTTTAAAAACATTTTTATTTCAAATATTGATTTTTTTCCTTTGATTTAAATCACTTCTTAAAATGTTCCTTTTCAGTGTTGATCATTGTCTCAGAATTTTAAGTAAGTACATTTACGATCTGTGTCATTGTCTTAATGGGAAGGAACAACACGAAAGGCAAAAAGGGGAGCTAAATGAAAGAATTAGATAGAAATGGGGGAGAAAATAATAGTGTCTGCATGGCTGCTGCAAACAGACACGTGACAAAATGGCATTATAATTGAAGATATTAGTGTCTTCTCGGCGAGAAAACAGTCACGTGATACTCTGACATTACAATAAAAAGATAACAGTGTCTGCTGGGCTGCTGCAAACAGTCACGTGATATTCTGACATAATAAAATGCTGATTTTATCTGCTGGGGTGTTGCAAATAATCACGTAAGACGTGGCTAGTAGTAAGCGCCATTTTGATTGATCTGATGACAGGGAACAATGCCTGTTTAAATTCTGTTAAATAGTGATGGACCAGAAAACCAATATTTTCGTTGATAATATTTTCATGCATATTTATATACCCTACATGATGTTTATTACCGACTCAACCTGTCAATTTCTTATATTATGTTGTGTGTGTCTTTGGTTACACTTCTTGAGTATAAACAAAGTTTGTCTTTCCAGTATAATTATTGTTGTGCTAAAATCAATCCTCTACGTATTAAGACTATTATTCTGATCTCCATCTAGACATCTTTGGCAGCTCAATTAAAAATGCCAATAGTCTGATTTCTCCTGAAAAACAATAAGTTAACATGTGAATTTTTTAAACTTCCTTTTTCCTCAGGTTTATAGTAAAGGTTACATTGATTTGCAAGATTATCTTTCAAAAAAGTTTTTCTAGAATTGTTGTTATTGTTATTGTTTTTTGTTTTTGTTTTTTTAACATTTTACAAAGGTTTTTTTTCCTTTTGATTTTTTTTTCGGAGATATAAAATTAAAACAACCTTTTTTTTAATGGTGATTTTTTAGTCAGGTATTTCAAATCTAATTAAAATTATTTTTTTTTTTACATATGTCTAGTTTATCTACTTATTTTAATTACCTAAATGTATATATAGTGCATTTGCTGAACTGAAATTTATTTAAATGAAGAACCATATGCAACATTCTCGCCTTGGTCCTGCTGTTCTTGAAATTTAAGCTATTTATACTCATGGAAAATTTGATCTCTTATTGTAGGTACATGTACAACAACGTCCCATGGCAACGGTTCTACCAAATTTGAGTCTACATTATCTGGGAATTATTTCTCATCAAAACTACTTATTTTTTCCGTAATGTTTTACTGTATGATAACATGTTTGTGGAGTCAAACTCTTTTGGTTTGTGGGAAAAAAATTTGGTTCGTGGGAATTTGATTTCCTGATAATAAAAGTGTTGAGTTTTCATCTATGTGAAATTTTAGATTTCGTGGAGGACATGAATTCGTGAGTCCCCTTATATGACGGACACTACGAAAATCAAACTCCCTCGAAAATTAGTGATTTCACAATCGACATCTCAATTGAAACTTTATAGTTCTCTCTACTTCCTTATTTTTCAATTGTCAATAGACAATTAGTAAACCTCATGTATTCTGACAAAAAGATAGGATCTTCAGTTATAGAGATACGTCAGTAACTAGATCGCACACGTAATGGATCTAGACATTTATTTTCAAAATTTTCTGACCTAGTTTGGCCCTAGCTTGAGGTTAGGAATTAAACAAATTTGATTTTACTCTATATGGAGATGTTGACATATAAATATAACTGCGATTCTGCTGACTCTCCGAAGATTTGTATCAGATAAAAGCAAATGTGACCCTTCTTATGATCCCATCCTAGACCCTCTTGAGACATCTTCACTCATATGGATTCTTGAGAAAGAGGTTTTTCTTAAATGTGAAAAATTAGTTCCTTACTGTGACTAAATCTCTTCATCCAGTGACTTTGGTATGAAAAAAGTTGAAATAAATGACCTTGAATTTCAACTTCGATGAACCAAAAAGTAGTCAAGTTGCGAGTATCACTTAAATAGAATCATAGATATGTAACATGACTATTTATTATCAATATTAAAAAACCAAAAAAAGACATTAAATGTGCCTCATTATTTAAAACGCCAATTTTGCGTAGTTAGAATGACACACAGTACTAACGAATATAAAGGTAACGTATAGCGCTTTGAACTTGATCTAGGTTAAGATCAAATTTTAGTGGTGTGTTCAAAAATAAGTTTTCCACAAAGTTCGTCGCAAGTGCAGTTTCAACATTACAAAGAGCATTTTAAAATCGTCGTAATCGATTTCAAATCAAGTGTATATTCAGAGAAGAACAAGAGACCCAAGGGCCTTAACGGTCACCTGAGTATGATACAATAATTGAAAGGATGCATAGAGTATAATATGAACTGAAAGGTGAAGCTTTGTTGCCCAAAAGAAATAAAATAGGGTGATCATGATCAACAAAATAATTGGTCTTAATATTCATTAACAGTTCATGAATTAGGTTCTAATCCGTTCCCCATTTATCACTATCACCATACGGTATATTAACAAATTATCAATGCTTCTGTACTATTTTAATCCCTTGTTGAAATCTCTTACATTGGCCACTCTTGGTCTTTGATGAACATTTAATAAGACAAGTTATTTTTGTCTCATTTTTATTTATGTACTACTTACAAGTCTATCTGATCATTAAAACAATGAAAGTACTTTTTGTATTATACAATAAAAGTTTTTGCATAATTCTCTTATTCTATTTACCTTTCAAGTACATTATTTACAGTGATAAATCATCAAAAGTAAATGGCAAAGGGGAATAACTCCTCTCAGTAGAATACAAACTAATAGAGCCTTGGCTAGGACCAGAACACTTGCCCAAATGGTCCAGATGTTCAAAAATCTGGTAAAAATTCCCTTCCTTATAAAAATTTCTACTCTATTTACCTCAGATATGCCCAGGTGCGGAGAAGATTTTTAAAGAAATAAAGAAATTTTTACTACAGATTCACTATATTATCAATAGAGCCCCCCCCCCCCCCCAAAAAAAAAAAAAAAAAAAAAAAAAAACACCAGAGCTTCTGACCCTGGGACCATAAGTTTGCTCATCATAACTAATCACTTTGTTTATCTGCTTAACACTAAGGAGCAAACAGGATTATTTAATAGAATTAATGCATTTTCACTATATTACCCTCACACCAGCACATTTGACCCAGGGGTCATAAAATTCACTACTCTGAAAGAAGCACTCTTGCTCATCATAACTATACACTTAGCTTCTTTGCTTTTTAAACCAGAAGCAGAAAAGAATATTTTCAAAGAAATTTTGCTTTTTCACTATATAATCAATAGAAGCCCCCCCCCCCCCCCCTCACCAGAACCCTTGAACCTGGGGTCATAAAATTCCCAATTTTGCACAATCCTTGCATATCATAACAATGTACTTAGTCTGTTTATACAATACCCAGGGGCAGAGAAGAAGATTTTCAAAGAAATAATTCACCTTGACTATAGGATCTATATAGCCCCACCCTAACACCAGAACTCCTGTCCCCGGGGCCATGAATTTCATATTTTTGGAAGAGACATCCTTGCTTATCATAACAATGTACTTAGTTTGTTTAAATAATACCAAGGTGCAGAGAAAAAGATTTTTAAAGAATTAAAACATTTTCACTTTATAATCAATAGAGCCCCGCCCTAACACCAGAACCCCTGATCCAGGGGCCACGAATTTCACAATTTTGGAAGAGGCATCCTTGATTATCATAACTATGTATTTAATGTGTTTCAATAATACCCAGGAGTAGAGAAGAAGATTTTCAAAGAAATAATGCATTTTCACTATATAATCAATAGAGCCCCGCCCTAACACCAGAACCCCTGACCTTGGGGCCATGAAATTCACAATTTTGGAAGAGGCACTCTTGCTCATCATAACTATGTACTTAGTTAGTTTATCTAATACCCAGGAGCAGAGGAGAAGATTTTAAATGAATTAATGCATTTTCAATATATAATCAATAGAGCCCCACCCTTACACCAGAACCCCTGACCCTGGGGCCATGAATTTCACAATTTTGAAAGAGGCACTCTTACTCATCATAACTATATACTTAGTCAGTTTATTTAATACCCAGGAGCAGAGAAGAAGATTTTCAAAGAATTAATGCATTTTCACTATATAATCAATAGAGCCCAGCCCTAACACCAGAATCCCAGACCCTGGGGCCATGAATTTCACAATTTTGGAAGAGGCACTCTTACCCATCATAACTATATACTTAGTTAGTTTATTAAATACCCAGGAGTAGAGAAGAAGATTTTCAAAGAATTAATGCATTTTCACTATATAATCAATAGAGCCCCGCCCTAACACCAGAATCCCAGACCCTGGGGCCATGAATTTCACAATTTTGGAAGAGGCACTCTTACTCATCATAACTATATACTTAGTTAGTTTATTTAATACCCAGGAGCAGAGAAGATTTTCAAAGAAATAATGCACTTTCACTATATGATCTATATAGCCCCGCCCTAGCACCAGAACCCCTGACCCTGGGGATATGAATTTCACAATTTTGGTAGAGGACTCAATGCTTATTACAATGATGCCAACAGTTTGACTGCTTGATGTCCATGAGTAAAGAAGAAGATTTTTAAAGATTGCATTAATTTTGGTGGTTTTAGCCCCACCCCTCAGGCCCCAGCGGGGCAGGGACCATGAAATTCACAATTTTTGTCCCCCTTCACCCATATATGCTATATGCCAAATTTGGTTGAAATTGGTTGAGCGGTTCAGAGAAGAAGCAAAAAATGTTCAAATGTTAACGCACATCGCACGACGCACGCCGACGGACAAAAACGGATAGCAATAGGTCACCTGAGTGACTCAGGTGACCTAAAAAAAAATATAGGATTCAATTGACTGTTGGGGTTACCGATAAAAATAAGTCATTTTACCTGTTACTGGCTTACAGTGACAAGGAACAAACAAAATACCAGGATCAGTCTAAGTAAATTAGATTTGGCTATCAAATTTTTAATAACACAAATTCCTGAACAAATTTGTAAATACTTAGAACTCAATTTTTTTTATTTTTTGGCCTTTGCCTAAACCTTACATTGAGATATGTATACATATTTTTAAAAAAACGAAATAAATTTCGTCTTGGTCACATCAACCGACGTCTGTTTGACGTTACTTTTCCTAACTCATTTTCAGATATCAAGCTTTTCGGCAATTCAAATATACGTACCACAAGCAAATTTTCTTATCTCGCAAACAGAAGGGTTACATTGCTACTTTTTTTCAATTTTTCTTACAATAAATTCTAATAAGAAAATTTCAATTGTGTAAAAATGTAATATATTAGACTCTTGAAAATGTTCCCAGAAACTTTACTGTAACAAAACATCATATATTTCTAGATTTACTTTTCACAAATTATACTGAACTGTAAAGTTACATTTTCTCATTTTTTACCAAAGTGTGTATCATTTCTTTAGTGAGAGAGGCACCTATTGAAGCAAATATGTTTGAATTTGGTAAGAAAAAAAAATTTTTTTACATATCCTTAACATAGGGAGAAATGGACGGTCAGTCAACCAAAGGTAGTAGAAATTCGCTAGCTCATTTGCGGGTATCAAACTATTGAAGACATACCATTATGGTTACATTAGCTTCCTAACTTACTTTCAAATAAAGGTTTATTAGAGAGTGTTTGGAAACACTGCTCTGAGACAAGGTTTGGGAGCCTTTGAAGCTCTAACTTATAAACTGGTATCAAACCTTGAATAGTTAACGCATAGGTTAGCTTAGGAACACTGATGGAAGGGTCATCTGAGAATCATTGGTTTTTACATATTTAGTGATTTAATTCTACAATTCCTGTTTAGTTTAAATTTTAGGTTTAGTTAACATTAGGAAAATTATGAATCTCTTTCTCCATGGCTGGAGAACCCACACTACCTTCTATTATTTCATCAAGTCCAATGATACTCGAGACGAAATCAGCACAGCGTGGTGAATGTGAATAAAACTTTTAAATAAAAAAGCTTTAAGGGAGACACTTAGTAGCAAGATGGTTGTGAATATCATTGAAAAAGGATAAAAATTAATACTCCTTTGAGAGATTTAAATAATTTGTGTCTGTAAAAAAAAATATCAAGGTATTTTAGCTAAATAAAGACAAAAAATAGAAAACTAATATTTTCTTAATGGAATTTGAGCTTAATAAAGCCAATTTCATAGAATTAACACTGACTAGTGTTTTCAATCGATCTTTTTGCCCTTTACCTGTATCAAGTCGTAAAGGTATAAAAATAAATAAACTGGGTCAAATAAAAGGGTAATGACCTATTGTAGAAAGGCAGGAGATAATACCTTGAAGTTATTTCTCATAAAATAAAAAAAATGGTATTTGTGATTTAAATCCTATTGATTTTTACGATAATGGTACTTTGAACTTTGTCATGTTATTGAAATTTGAATTCCTTCTTATTTATTTTTTTTTTAAACACATACAAAGCTCGAATGACATGAGATGAATTTTATATTTTAATACAAAATTCCGTGTTTATTATTCTAATAAGCAAATTGTATGAATGTAGCTTTTTATTTGAAAAAAAAAAACAACTTGCCTTTGAAACAAATATTGGTGTATTTAATTGTCAAAATTTCTGCATTGCAATCTTATATTTTCAGTTCCTAAACTGCATACTTAAATCATTATATGTTTACAACCATTAGACTTTATATATACAAACATATTCATGTAGGAAGCGGTCAACTTAGTTGTCTTTTTTTTTTCTTCGTTTGCACCCCTCCCTTTGTATTCGCCCCTTGTTATATTCAATATTTCCTAACAGAAGATTTCAATTCAATACGTGATGAACTATTTTTTTATACTTCATACTTCATCGTGTAATTTAAAATAGAAATAAGAAAATTAGACTATTATAAAGATGACCTTATACAACATATACCGGAATAATTAAAATCAATGATTCAGTGCCTCGTTTAAATTAACAGGTCTTTCATTCATATATTGATTTCAAATGGGAGGTTATTATTTAGCATCTCCGTCTCCAAAAAGATGTCCAACTCTTGTTAAAAAGTCAGCGTCGTAGTCTCAAATATTTACAAATGATGGTACAGAGACAAAATGTCGATAAAGCCCTGCTGTGTTCTACATTAAAAACATTTACCCTGTTTAAACGGAAAGTCTTAGCTTTCTGTCTGTATTACATTTCTAGAAGATTATTTGCAATACTAAGTATAACGGTGCATAAGTGATAATGAATAGAAATACACTTAGGAGAAATAAACATCTTTAGTTGGTAAGTGATTGTACAAGACAAAAAAATGTTAATTGTTCTGAGAAATACTACATTTTGCAATTGTTGTGGTCAATACATTGACCTTGTTAAGAAATACAATATGTTATTAAGTCGAATATTGACTGACGTCCTTCATACAAGTTTTTATTATCGCACTTTTTTCTTTTAGCTGATCATAACAAGGAACACACGGCGGGGGTAACCGTTTGACAGGGGATGCTTACTCCTCCGTAACACCTGATCTCACCTCTGTTTTCAGAGATCTTTGTTGGTTTTTCTCATAATTTGTATTGCTGAAATATACCTTTGAACATGATTACTTTTCAGTTTTATCACATTTCACAGAGCAGAAGTTAAAATTACTGAAATTGCCTTCATACTAATTTTCTTTGGGAAAATTATTAATGTTATGTGCATTTACATATGTTTTAGATGAAAATGATCATGCAATCAGAAAAATTGACTACAGTTTTAATCTGACATGTTTTGAATTTTTTTCTTCCTAAAATCAATTTTGGTCTATTTAAAACAACGCATTGATTTTATTTATCCATCATAAAACAGAAACATAACGAAAAGCCTGGATTGTATCCTTTGAAAATTTCTTGACAAAAATATTTTAATTCTAATTAACAGCGTACGTCTATATTCCGCAGGCTTATTTATGTAGAAAATTTATGTGAGAAGTTTTATGTATTCAGACTTGTTTACTCTTACGATTTCGCCGTATTTTGAGTCCAAATTACGTCTCACGTTTTGCTATTATGAAAATCGGAAAATCCTTTCGTTTGGATTTTCGTTATGATCTGTCTCAATTTGACGCTTTTTAATCGCTAAAAAGATAAAGATTTCAAACACTTAAGTGATGTTGGGTTGCCAAAACGCGGTGGTTTAAAAAATGACAGAAATGGTTATCTGAAATGTAGTTGTTCTCTAATAATATATGTAAAATCGATGAAAAGTTAAGTCTTACTGGCAAATGCCAAATTTCACTGACAAATCTAATAAAAGATACTGAGAGACAACAATATGGGTAAACAGGTCTGTATATTTATGAGCATTTATGTTCTTAGCATGTTACATTTACTGAGATTGATAGCCTGATTTTGATAAATGTGCTGAGCATGGATGATTTATTGTACGTGACGTCATGATTAAATAAGGTTTTCATATCGAGACTGGTATACTGAGCACGGTTTACTTAGACTGGTATACTGAGCACGGTTTATTGAGACTGGTATACTGAGCACGGTTTATTGAGACTGGTGTACAGAGAATGGTTTGTTTATTGAAAATGGAGTCCTGAGCTTGTTAACTCACCTGAGCCAAATGCTCAATTTAACTTATCTAATCGAACTTTGTCCGTTGTCTCTCTTTGTTATTTTGGTCGTCGTTCTCGTTAACTTTTCACATTTTCACCTTCTTGGGTGAACTGGAGTCAAGTTTGGTCAAATGAAGGATATCACCTTCTTTGAAGGGAGGAGGATTAAGAATTAACGAAAATCTTATCATCCTTTGAAAAAAGCTTCTTCTCAAGAACCACTGAACCAAGACAAAAGCAACATTTATGTGAAAAGGCTGTTTTCAATGTATGAACCATGGAGATAACAAACAATATTCAAGCTCAAAGTCCATTAAACATCCTAAAATATCAGAGGTTGGATCAATTGCCATGGAGGAGTAAGCATCCCCTGCCGCCCATTGACTGTAAGTGAATATACATTTACTTATTTCTTGTACAATGTTTCAACTTGTCATAGTAATGTACAACATTAATGTGCAATGGCATTTTTCATGGTGGATGAGAACATTATATATGAAATGTGTAAGTGTAAATATACATATATAATTTACAGTTCATTGTATTTCAAAACCTGTTGTAGAGGGACTACCAGTCAGCGTTTTGTCTGTATCTGAGACTGACTCCATCAGTAGGTGGGCAATGCTGTCGAGGCTTCCCAGTGCTTGATGTTGCCTGGCATATAAAGTTTCCTCGCTTGCTGTTCTGTTTCTGGAAATATCTTCTGACTCCTCAGGCTCAGTACCAGAAATCAACACGCAAGATGCAGATGACGAACTTCCTTGCCCACTCAGATTCTGACGCTGTATCAGTATTTTCAGCATCAGTGTTTCCTACACCCGCCGTGTGCTCCTTGTCATGATCAGGAAAAACGGAATAATCCGTAGACAGTTCAGTGTATAAATAATGGTCTAACAATTAGTATGAAAAACTTCAGTCAGCATTTGATTTAATGATAGGTTGTTTTTGCTGACATGGTCATTGTATCGACCAAAAAACTTGCGAAATGATGACTACAAACGAAATTGTTGATATTCTTTTTTCATCAACTTGTTTATCAATAGCTTGCCTCGTTTTCGAAATTGTTCATACGTAGAGCATGTTCTTGCTTATCGAATTAAATGGGAGGCAGAAATACCATATAATTTCGCAGATGACCAATGATAATGTACGTATGTTTTGTTCAAGTCATGACCCCCGGGGATAGGGTAAGATCACAATAGAAAATCGGGTTTTACGTAGGAAAATATAGGAACAAATCTTTTAAAAAAAAAAATTTTCTCAAGAAAGCAAAGACTTAGATTGTCATATTTGTATGGAAGCATTTTCAGGTAGTGTAGATTTAAGTTTGTTCAAATCAACGCCGAGGAGTGTGGTTGGAACCACAATAAAAGATAAGATGTCAAAGTTCTACATAGAAATTTATAGGGGAATATCTTTTCAAATCTTTTCAAGAGCAGCAAACCATGATTAGGCATATTTATATGGAAGCGGTCACAATAAAAGATCAAAGTTTTACATAGGAATATATAGGGAAAAATTAAAATCTCCTCAAGAACGTACATCAAAGCCTTGATTCGTCATATTGATATGGTAGCATCCTTAACTAGTGTAGATTCAAGCGGCTTAAATCATGGTCCCTGGGGGGAAGAGTGAGGTCACAATCGGATATCTACATATATCTCCATAGTTCTACCTAGAAATATATAGGGGAATATCTTTAAAAATCTTCTGAAGAGCAGCAAAGCCATGATTAGACATATTTATATGGAAGCGGTAACAATTAAAGATCAGTTTTAAATAGGAATATATAGGAAATAACTTTTACAAATCTTCTTCGCAAGAGCAGCAAAGACGCCATTTGCTTATCTATATGAAAGTTCGTCATGATTTTATATCGAAGTTTGTTTAAATCATGGCCCCTTGCGGGAAATGAGATCTAAGTTTTAAATAGGTATATAGAGGAAGCACTTTAAAAAATCTTCTCAAACGCAGGAAAGCCATCATAAATCGTATTAATGTGATAGAGTGATTTATTTCATATATTAATTATTATATTTCAGGATTAAATTAATTCAGTTAAATTGTCATATTTATTTCTTTACAGCATTTCATTTATTGAATAAATCCACATGGTATTATTTACATCAATCTGTGTTTATTGAGTTATTTATAGATGTATGACATCACAGTGGTCATTTAAACCCCTGTCCCTTTCTATATATATCTTGTGTAGTGTCCAGGCCAACTTGGATTTCATTGGTTGGTTAGTTTCCCTCTCTTTTGGTTTTTACTTAGTTAATTACTTTTGTTGGAGATCTTGGTCTGAGTAGACATATTGGCCTTTTGATATTTTATGATTTATTTATGAAAATGACCAAGACAGGACAGAATGTAAGTTTACTTTTACTAATTTCATATTCTATATATAATTGTTTATCTGCTAAATTACCAAATAATAATATTCTAATATAAAGTATGAAAGTTCAGTTCGTGTGATTATTTTATGACTTTGTAAATATTCAGAGTAATAAGTATATTTTATATCTGTGAGAATAAGTGTGTAATAATAAAGTTATATTTATATTATTCATACACAGATCACTGAATAGAGTACAGCTGTGTTCAGCTATTTAAATATATTTGGAGTTATGGCTCTATATCACATATAGGTATGATGTATATATATTTTGAATATTGTCTATATAATTATATTATTCTGGAAGAGTTCAGTATAATTTGATCTCATTGTTTTATCTATATATTCCAGAGTGTTCATACTTTGTACATATTATTGATTAAGAAAGATAACTCTTAATGTTTTATCTATGAGCACAATTAAAGGGAAATAACTCTTCATTTGACCGTGCTATCTGGCAAGTGATCTACATGTATGCTTTGTTTTAAAATATTTATGATTGTTTATATATATTTCAGAGCTGTGATAAAACTGATACTACTGATAATACACTTATCCACAACAACAACATGGTGTTTGTATTTATTATTCCTTAAACGAACCCCATTTCATTAATATGAAAGCATCTTCAGATAGTGTAGATTAAAGTTTGTTGAAATGATGATCCTGGGAGGGGTATTATTGAGGCAACAACTGGCATTCATAGTTTTACAAATAAATATATAGGGAAAATCTTTGAAATTCTTCTTTAATTTTGAAAAATGTTTACGAACGGACAGACAAACAGATACTTTACTAATACACAAACTCTTCTGGTCTCTGTTCAGTAGATATAAAAATGAAGCATTTTCACGACATTCAATAAAATCACGTGAAGTCTATTGATAACCATATTCAATCTCACAGTTTTGAAGAAGTCCAGATCATACTAAGAGACTGTAGGCAATCTGGATACATTTCATTTTTGTGACATGGAATGAAGTCTAAAAAAAACCTAATTAGATTCATTTTTTCGTTCAAAAGGACAATTTCTAGCACATTATTTTGCTGTGTTTGCCGCAAAATTATTCCCCGATATATCTTATGTAACAAGATATGATGATATAGCATCATTAGAGGAATTAATGTCTTAATTTGTAGAAACCTGTAGTCTTTTGTACATTTACTAGATCTTAACCTTAATTTATATATCGATTGATATATTAAGCATGGTTTAATTTATCAACAGTGATGTCCAGGTATTTTTTGCAATTAGAGAGGTTTAATGAAATGATGTAATAAGCATTGTTTATAATTAATAATTATTAATTGAGACTTGCTTTACTGAACCTTGTTTATGCATTGAAACAGGTGTCTTTAAGATGGCCTAATTATATAAGAACTCGTGTGCTTGCTTTCTGAATGCAAATTTTCAGAGTTTCACAACATTTGGAGCTTTATTAATAAAACTGCGATATTTATTTCAGAAAATATGGATGCTTTTGTTCACGTTCCTAATGACTCGATTAGATGCCCTTTAGAGAGCTCTCTTATACATGTATGATTCACAGAAACGGTCCACTTCCGAATAGCTCTTAATCAATATGATAGTTATGCACACACTTAGAGGGGAAATACGGAGTTATATGGGGTCCTTAAAAATACGTATTTCGCAAGATGTAACGAGTCATCCAATTCTTTTCAATGGGTACATACTTCTGCTATTGCTTAATTAAATTATTTATAAATTTAATCAAGACTTTTATTCCTATTGTCCTGTACGCGTACACAGCTAAATAAAATAAATCAAAGGACTAAAGCTATAATTCATACAGTAAATACCCCAAGAAACTTTCCTGAGGAGCTATAATTCTTAAAACAAATAACTCATAAAAAACTAAGGAGTTATAGTTCACTCAAAAAAACTTTACTAAGGAGCGATAATTCATATATAACCGATGCCTAGTATATACATGTACGTGTAATGTAGGCTTGTCTCCACACAGAAACTTCAATAGGTACACCGCTGTCCAACGCAACAAGGAGTAATATATACAGAACACCGAGCAGCCTCTGTAGCAAACCCAACTAAGTCAGAACCTCTCATATTTTTCAATAAAATCTTTGAGATCTTACACACAGGTATATATTGTGAGAATTTTTTACTAGGAACATATTATAACAAATTAAAACACGAGGTTCATTGAACACATGGGCAAGCACAAGCGCTGAAATCTGATTGGCTAAAATTCAAAGGACTATAATGGCGTTGATTTTCGATAAAATACTTGTCAAACTTATTTCCAAATATGAAACAGATGTGTCAGAATCTGTGGTAAAAAGATATATCGAATCAACATAGTCATGAAAATGAATATTGTAAATTGATAAAATGTCTTCGATATATCAAAATGTTGAATTAAAGGCCACAGCAAGAGACCTCTTTTTATGTAGAAGATATTTTGAATAAATTCTGCTTTATATGAATACAGAAATAGGTCTGCTTAAAACGGGGCACAAAATATAATATAGACAACACTCTTGCTATGGCATTTGTTGGGATATTTAGCTAATAGATACACAAGTATATGCTTAAGATCTAGTCCAAGTCAGTAAAACATTTACAGATACATTAATGTGCATCCTTTAATGATATAAAACATGACATATTGGCTTAATATACCTAGTATTGCCCCGTTGGGCACTGGAAGGATTGGTTTTTGTTGATTTGATTGAAACTAGCATACCATTGATAAACCACAGTACAGGCACTCAAACATTATACAAATAATGGCATATGGGCTTAAAAAACAAACTCTTGATGGTTTCAGAGTTCAGTGATTGATTGTTTGTTGTTTAAGTCCCTCTCGAGAATTTTTCACTCATACGGAGACACCACCACTTGCCGGTGGAGGGCTACAAATTTTGACCTCTACTCGGCACTTAGGGCAATTGAGCAGTGAGGGATCTTTTTCGTGCCAGCACCTACTGCGACACGGGACTTCGGTTTATACGGTCTCATCCGAAGGACCGGTCTCCACGTCCCGCAGTGGGATTCGAACCCGCGACATAAGGATCAACTCCTTACAGCGCGACTCTAGAGCTGACGCTCTAACAACTGCGCCATGCGGGCGACTTTCGGTGATTGAAACAACCTTATGACTTCATTTTGGTGAATACTTTGAGAGAAAACTTACAAATGAAACTTAATATTACATAGCAAGAAATGTTCTATATTCCATTGCATATTTCAACAGATTCCAGCTATCTTCCTCAAAGATATCAAGCTTAGAAATATTCTGGTATCAAAAGATTTCCTAAGAATTTGTTTGTGTGACGTAGGTATCAGTAAATTCAAAACCATGAACACAATTATGGTTACAACAGTAGACAGAAAAATTCAACTGGGAACACCATCCTATCAGG